CCAGGGTCTCACCCAGGCTGGCCCCGACCTCTGGAGCTGTTGAGGGTCAGGCGATGTCCCTTCTTCCTTTTTGTCTCAGCAGCACATTGGCAGGACACCTTTGATGGCAGCAGCCCCTCCTCTGGGCTACTGTGTGCTTTTTTATTTATTTATTTTAATATGGTGCTGAGGCTCGAACCCAGGGCCTCGAACGTGCTAGGCAAGTGCTCTCCCACTGAGCCACAGCCCCGGGGCCACTGTGTTCTTAGGTGCTGTGATGTTCAGCTGAGGGTCACCCGAGTGAGTGAGGGGTGGGTGGAGGGGATTAGGAGGCTTTTGCAGACTTTCCAGGGTGGTGGGCTCTTTTGTGGGACCCTACATGGCCCCATGGAGCCAGGCCATGCCTCACCAACTGCTGCACCCACCTATGGCCCAGCTGGGATTCTGCCTCCATCATGACCTGGTTTCCCTTCCCCTAATTAGAGCTCATATCGGATCTGGCCTCTCCCCAGCCCCAGGTCCTGCTGTGGCTCCCAGGTGCCCAGAGGGTTCCTCCCCAGAGTCTGGGCCACCTCCCCATACCCTGCTTGCCCTCTGTTAGCATGCTGGTGAGCAGGGCGTTGAAGTCAACTTGCCCGAGACGCCCAGCATCACGGGTGGGATCCACAGAGAACTTTAAAGCAGCCCTTTTATTTTTGCAGCCTCAGGACTTGATCAGGGCCTCTCACGCGTCAGGCGAGCACTCTTCTTCCTGAGGTACAGCCCAGGCCTTGCTGAGGGCTGGGAGCTCGCTGGCTGCAGCCAGCCTGGCGGAGAGTGGTGACAAGAGACAAGGCAGGCCTCGCAGGGCCCGGCCAACCACCAGGCGCTTTTCACCCACTCAGACGGGGGAGACCAGGTGCCAGCCCAGGAAGAGGCTGTGCCTGCCTCCTGCTGGGCCTTACCTGCAGGCAGAGGTGTTCAGGGATGCCCCTTGGACAGGAGCCCAGCTCCTCAACACAGTGTCCCCTAGGACCTTCAATTTCAGTTTGGCCCTGACCTTGGGCCTGGGAGTCTGTCTGCAGGTTGGAGTAAGGGCCAAGGCCACAGGTGGGCTTCACCAGGTGGCCAGGCCCCTGAGACACATGCTCTGTGCCCTGGGGGGGAGACTTGTGAGCCCGGCCTAGGCTGCTGCTGCCTGCACCTATGACTGTCGGCCCTGCAGGGGGCGAACGAGCGGGCCCTGCCCTGTCCTCCTGCCCCTGGTCTCCAGGAGACCTGCTGCCCCATGGCTCTGGGCCTGGCTGTCCCGGCCTGGCCACCTGCCCTCTGCAGAGGGTGGAGAGAGCGACAGGAATACCTTGTGCTCCGTACGTGGGTTACATGCTGGGCTGTGGGGACGGCAGAAGCTGGACAGCCACTCCATGCATCCTCTGGAGGCCATTCTTGGGGCTGTGTGGTGTAGGTGGCTCCTGGGGGAGGGGCCTGAGAGAATGAGGCAGACAGGGACGTCGAGGGAGGCCGTCCCAGGGAGGCCTGGCAAGATGGGGTATCTAAGGGAAGCGCTTCCCAGGTGGGGGCAGGAGTGTCTGAGATTCCTGTGCTGAGAAAACAGGCCGGCCATAGGAACGGACGATGGGTGGATGGACAGGTGGGCGTGTGGGTGGTGGACGGGTGGGCGTGTGGGTGGTGGATGGTGGCCGGGTGGGCGTGTGGGTGGTGGATGGTGGCCGGGTGGGCGTGTGGGTGGATGGACGGGTGGAGGGTGGGTGGTGGATGGGCAGGTGGGTGTGTGGGTGGTGGATGGTGGCCGGGTGGGCGTGTGGGTGGATGGACAGGTGGGCGTGTGGGTGGTGGGTGTGGGTGGTGGATGGTGGGCAGGTGGTCATGTGGGTGGTGGATGGTGGACGGGTTGGCGTGTGGGTGGTGGATGGTGGACGGGTTGGCGTGGGTGGTGGATGGTGGACGGGTGGGCGTGTGGGTGGATGGGCAGGTGGAGGGTGGGTGGGTGGCAATGGAGAGACCTGGCTCGAGGAACTGGTCTCTGGGTGCTGGAATGACAGGCCAGCTGGACGAGGGTGGTCGTGCGGCTGGGCAGGTGGACAGTGACCTGCCGTGTCTGCTGCAGCTTCCCATTGTGGCGTCCTCCATTGTGTCGCTGTACTTCCTGGAGCTGACCGACCTCTTCAGGCCCGCGCAGGTGGGCTTCCAGTGCTATGACCGCGCGCTGTCCATGCCCTACGTGGAGACCAGCGAGGAGCTCATCCCCCTGCTCATGCTGCTGAGCCTGGCCTTTGCGGCCCCAGCCGCCTCGGTGAGCGCGCTGGGGCTGGCCGTGGGGACGTGGGGCGCGGCCCCAGCCCCAGCCCCAGCCCGCCTGACCCCTCCCTGTCGGGCAGATCATGGTCGGCGAGGGGCTGCTCTACTGCCTTCAGGCCCGGCTGTGGGGCCGCGGCGGGGCCGATGGCGGGGCCGAGGGCAGCATCAGCGCTGGCGGCTGCAACTTCAACTCCTTCCTGCGGCGCACCGTGCGGTTCGTGGGTGAGTGCTGGCATCTCCCCTGCTGCCCGGAGGGCCCATCCAGCGGGGCAGTTGTGCCTGCTGTCCCGGCCCTGACCCCCTGACCCCGCAGGCGTCCACGTGTTCGGCCTGTGTGCCACAGCTCTGGTGACCGACATCATCCAGCTGGCCACTGGCTACCATGCACCCTTCTTCCTGACCGTCTGCAAGCCCAACTACACTCTACTGGGCACGTCCTGCGAGGCCAACCCCTACATTACGCAGGACATCTGCTCTGGCCACGATGCCCACGCCATCCTGTCGGCACGGTGAGCCACCACCCTCCACCACCCCCCGCGCCCCTGGGATTCTGCCTCCATCATGACCCGCGGGGGCTCACGGGTCGCTCTTGCAGGAAGACCTTCCCATCCCAGCACGCCACGCTGTCTGCCTTCGCCGCCGTCTACGTGTCGGTGAGTGCTCCCCAGCCCCCGCGGCTCCCGGGCACTGGCCAGGCCTGACCCTGCCCACCCCCTAGATGTACTTCAACTCCGTCATCTCGGACGCCACGAAGCTGCTCAAGCCCGTCCTGGTGTTCGCCTTCGCCATGGCCGCCGGCGTCTGCGGGCTCACCCAGATCACCCAGCACCGCAGCCACGCGGTGGATGTCTATGCGGGCTTCCTCATCGGGGCGGGCATCGCTGCCTACCTGGTGAGCTGCCGCGGGGCTGGAGGGCCGGCCCTGCGAGGGGGGAGGAGCACGTCCTGCCAGGGGGAGGCTGCCCCTGTCTGTCCTGGGGTCCTGGTGCCCAGGCAGGTGCGTCACCGGCCAGGCCGTCACTGGCAGGAGGCTCACGCTCCCTGTGTCCTCCCAGGCCTGCCACGCGGTGGGCAACTTCCAGGCCCCACCCGCTGAGAAGCCCGCGGCTCCCCCACCCGCCAAGGACGCGTTGCGGGCCCTGACCCAGCGGGGCCACGACTCAGTTTACCAGCAGAATAAGTCTGTGAGCACAGATGAGCTGGGCCCGCCAGGGCGTCTGGAGGGCGTGCCGCGTCCTGTGGCCCGAGAGAAGACGTCACTGGGCAGCCTGAAGAGGGCCAGCGTGGATGTGGACCTGCTGGCCCCCCGCAGCCCCATGGGCAAGGAGCATTTGGTGACCTTTAGCAACACGCTGCCCCGAGTCAGCACACCCTCGCTGGACGACCCTGCCCGCCGCCACATGACCATCCACGTGCCGCTGGACGCCTCACGCTCCAAGCAGCTCATCAGTGAGTGGAAGCAGAAGTCCCTGGAGGGCCGTGGCCTGGGGCTGCCTGATGAGGCCAGCCCTGCACACCTGCGTGCGCCCGCAGAGCCCATGGCAGAGGAGGAGGAGGACGAGGAGGAGGAGGAGGACGAGGAGGAGGAGGACGAGGAGGGGGAGGAGGAGGAGGGCCCCATCCCACCCTCACTCTACCCCACGGTGCAGGCACGGCCAGGGCTGGGGCCACGTGTCCTGCTCCCGCCACGGTCGGGGCCTCAGCCGCTGGTGCACATCCCTGAGGAGGGCGCGGGCCTGTCCCCCAAGAGCAGCGCTGCCGTGCGTGCCAAGTGGCTCATGATGGCCGAGAAGGGCGGGGCCCCCGTGGCCCCCTCGCAGCCCCGCGTGGCCAACCCCCCTCGGCTGCTGCAGGTCATTGCCATGTCCAAGGCCCCGGGTGGGCCGGGACCCAAGGCAGCAGAGACAGCCTCGTCCTCCAGCGCCAGCTCTGACTCCTCACAGTACCGCTCGCCCTCGGACCGCGACTCGGCCAGCATTGTCACCATCGATGCGCACGCACCCCACCACCCTGTGGTCCACCTGTCGGCGGGTAACGCGCCCTGGGAGTGGAAGGCAGCGGGAGGTGGGCCCCGGGGGACGGAGGGTGAGGCGGGGTACGAGCTGGGGGACCTGGCGCGTGGCTTCCGCGTGGGGTCCAAGCCACCAGGCGTGTCCCCCGGCTCATCAGTCAGCGATGTGGACCAAGAGGAGCCACGCTTCGGGGCCGTGGCCACTGTCAACCTGGCCACGGGAGAGGGGCTGCCCCCACAGGGCGCAGCAGACGGAGTGCTGGGGCCAGCCAGCCGCGAGTCCACACTGCGGCGGCAGGGCGGCGGCCTGGTGCTGGGCGAGCGGGAGGCCGGCGAGGCAGAGGCTGAGAGCTATTTCCGGAGGATGCAGGCCCGCAGGCTCCAGGACTGAGGCAGAGGCCACCTAAGGCCAGGATGGGTGGGAGGCTGAGGGCTGGGATCTGGGTGGACGGAGGGGCGGGGGGGCAGCTCATGACCACATCAATAAAGAAGGCGATGGCTGACATCAGGTCCCGAGTCGTCTGGTCTGTGCGGGGCCCAAGGCCAGTGGGCAGCAGGGTCTGGTTCTTTGCCCCTGCAGCACCTCTGAACAGGAGGGACGTGGGTCTCAGCCCCCAGCCCAGGGAAAAGGAGGGAAGCAGGTGGCTGGATTCAGAGAGGAGACAGCAGCAAAAGACAAAACATGCCCCAAAAAAGAGGGAGATCAGAAGCGCAGGGTAGAGAAGAGATTTATTCACGTCCAGTACAGACCCGCCAGCTGCCTTCCACAGCCTGACAGCAAAGAAGAGGCCTACAGGAAGGCAGGTGTTATAAAACGGCTTTAATCGAGTTCTCTCATGACAAGCCCGGGACGGGCAATGGAATGTGCTCGTGGCCACTGCGCTCCACGTACAATACTGAGCCTGCGGTCGCTGTTATCAAAATACACATCACCGTAAAAACCCGACGCGCCCTCCATGTCTCTACAGGTATAAAAAACCATAAATATTTACACCCTTGTCACACTATGAAACTGGGGGTCCGAGGAGACCGGCCCTGCTGCTGGCGCAGTGGGACCAAGGCGTCCCCCAGGGTAGGGTGGGGGTGGTCAGGACCTGGAGGTCCACCGCCTGGAGTCCCAGCGTCAGAGCAGACAGGAACAAAAACACGACTTTGGTCCAGAATTTGAAGGAAAAGGGGAAAAATAACAAACCCTGAAAGTTCTAGAGCTGGTCTTCCTAGGCAGATCTGGGGGCTGAGTAAGGCCACTGAGGCGGGCGGTGCACGGCCGGGCCCTGCCGGAGGCTGGGTCCTGCCTGTGACTGAATTGATTACAAAGAATAAAATAGAAAGTACAGCATACAAAGTAATACCAAAGAGAAAGCTCACACTCATACCACTGGATCCTCTTGCTATAAAAAGGTACTTAAAACTATTTCTTTTGCATATAAATGAAAAAAGATTAGGATATTTGGTCAACTGGAAATATTGCTAGGCACAGATGTCTGCAACCACATCAGAATATGATACAAAGATTATAACAAAAGGCTAAAAGCTCAAGGAGGCTGGGTTGGTGCCCTCTGGGCCTGGCCGGGCGAGGGGGACCTGGGTGGCTGGAGGACATGGGGAGAATCATGTCACTTGATTACATGGGGGGGGGGGGTGCCAGCCAGCCCTGCTGGCACCTTGGGTCTCCACTCCCTCCCAGCACTGGGCACATGATCCGTGGGAGCAGGAGGCCGCTTTGCGTTTGCCTGGAGCAGATCCCCGCCCCGGGTCCCTGGGTCCCCTTGGGTGGGCGTGCGGCTGCAAGGCAGGCAGGTTTAAGGCACGAGGAAGCCACGTCGTGGTGGGGGCGCCCCCCGTGGGCCGCACGCCCAGCACGCCCTGCAAGGCAGGGCGCAGGGTCTGGCCTGGCCTGGCCTGGCCCCGGGCGGGTGGGGGACCCCTGCCGCAGTCCCCGAGCGCCCGAGCCGTCAGTCACCGCAAGGTCAGCAAGGTGAGCTAGATTTAATTTTTTTAAAAACAGGTAAACTGATTTCTCTTTAAAAAAATAAAATCTCTGGTCTGTTAAGGTCACTTCAGCTGCTTCTTAAAGTGGCTTTTCTCTGGAATGACGGAAGCGGCTCCGGAGCCCGGCCAGGGGCTGGGCCCTAGATGGTGGACTTGGAGAAGGAGACTCGCAGGTGGTGGTTCTCGCCCAGGTCATGGTTGTGCAGGTCAATGAGCGCCTGCACCGCCTCCTCCACGGAGCCCATCTGGATCAGCGCCATCTTGCGGTCCTTCCTACAGCACAGCAGGCCAGCTGGTGGGCACGAGGCAGGTGGGTATGGTGGGGAGGGGAGGCAGGGTGGGGAAGCCCCTACTCACTGGAAGAATTTGAACCCCTTGACCACGCCCCCGTTGCTGGAGAACAGGACCTTGAGGTCTTCCTCCGTGATGGAAGGCCTGTGGGGAGGAGGGGTGTGAGCAGGCACCTGCAGGGACCTCCTGCATCAGAGGCCAGGGCACATGGGACCCCTCAGAGATCAAGGGGAGAAGTGTTGACCACGGGGCCGGAAATGGCCTTGAGAAGACCAAGAGGCTCTGCGTCCCACGCCTGCACTTGGAGGGGCTGCTGAGGCAGGATGGGGGCGCCTCCCTGCGGGGTGCCTGGACTCACGGGATGTTGGAGAGGTGCAGGGTGGCGGAGGGCGGGAAGATGTTCTGGAAGTTCTTGGAGCCGGGCTTCTTGAAGCGGTGCAGGGGGGAGTTGCCGTAGTCCTTGGTGAGGCCCTGGTCCTCCTGGCCCTCCCGCGGCAGCTGCACGTTCTGGTGCTTGGACAGCGTGATGCGGATGGGCTTCCCGTGCAGCTTGTGCCCGTTCAGGTGGCTCATGGCTGGGAACACAGGGGCACGTGACCAGGGGCCCCAGCAGGCACCCCCATCCCCCACCCTGTGCCTGCCCTGGGGCCTGGGCCTCTTACCCAGCTGGGCCTGGCTGCCATCTGCCATCTGCACCAGCGCATTCTCCTTCTTGTTGAACAAGATCTTCACCCGCTGCACGTCCCCATAGACGCCTTCGGGACCCAGGGACAAGGCCGTGAGCGCCGGGCCCCGCCCGCCCTCCAGCCCCTGTGCACCCCTTAAGGCTTGCTCAGCCTGCTGGGGAGCCTGCGCCTAGCAGCCCAGGGCCCGCTAACAGGAGCGCCCACGTCCAGCCAGGTCCTAATGTCCGGGACAGGCCAGCTGTCAAGAAGGACCACGTTCGCATGCTACTGACACGCTTAACTCTTGGAGAAGCATGCAGGGCGGTAACCATGCGCGACTACGGGTGAGACGGTTGCAACCGGAAGCAAACCACGTAAGGAGGCAGAAGGCCAAACGCAAACTCAGGGCACATCTCAGGGCGTAAAACCATCAATTAAATGAAAACAAGGTAATAAAAGTGGGAATAACATACCGAAAAGAATAAAGAGGCTTTGGGGTGTGACTCTCTTTAGAGGACAGCAGAGCAAGGCAGCGAAGGGACAGGGGGAAGGGAGAGGTCAAAGGGGCGAGTTGCCATCGTCCACCACGAGGAAGACAGTCCCCGCAGGCGTGCAGGTTGATGGTGATGAGTTGCCAGGATGTTAATATTCAAGGGCAGGTTGTTTCCGGAGAGCAGGGTTTGAGAGGGGAGTTTGTTTTTATTTATTTATGTTTTGTTTGTTTCAAGCAACAACAGGAAGCAGAAGAACCGTGCAGTCAGTTGGCAAAGAAATTCCGGATCAGGGCAAGAAAAAAAATAGGGAAAGGGGAGAAAAGAAAAAAGTAGCAAAAAACACAGGTCAGTAAATACGTAAGGAAACCAGGCAGTGTCCCAGTCACTCGCGCACACGCAACGCTCCACCTGGGGAGACGGCAGGGAGAGGCCAGGCACAGGCTGTGCTGGGACAGGCAGCAGCGGCTGCTGGTCCACCCCCACGTGCCCTGGCTCCGGACAGCTGCAGGGACGTGGAGCGCACGAGCAGGGACTGTGGGGACGCCAGCCCTGCCTGCCTGGAGCCCAGGACGCCAACAGAAGCACCACAGACGAGGAGTGCTCTGAGATGCCGACTAGGTCCTGTCCACCAGACTCACACCCTGAGCCCCGGGCATCTTGGTCCAGCCCCAGCTGTGTGGACACGTTCACACTGGCAGCTGAGGTCTGTGTGCAAGGCGTACGTGGCCAAGCACCCCGACCGCCGGCAGGCCCAGGGTCCCCTGCTGCACCTGCTGGGCGCACACCTAGCCTAGCCCTCCTCGATAAGTGACAGGAGATATTTCAACTCAGAGCGTCATCAAATTGAAAATGCAAATGGAGACGGCAGGGAAGACAGGAAACTCAGAGGACCCTGGGAAAGGCGGTAAGCAGGAGTGATGTCGCGACACACAGCAGACTCCAGCAGAGCGAGGCGGCCACGCAGAGCCTGAGGAGGCCGCTGCTAGGGGCTCTGAGTTGGAGACTCAGGCCCCGCCCGCATGCAGCATGGCCACTGACCCTAGGGCCCAGCATACCCTGCTCACGCTCTGGGAGAAGTGGCCTGGGAGGGACCCACGTACCTCGGGGTTGAGGTTGCTGACCAGCAGGACGGAGTTCCCAGCCCCGGCAAGGCCTGGGATGGCGATGCGGCCTGCAGCAGCCGCGGCAGCTGCTGCTGATGGAATGGCCAATGGGGCCAGGGCTCCGTGCACGTTAGGGACAGACAGACCTGGAAGGGAAGAGGCAGTCAGGAAGTGAGCACAGGCCCTCCACCGGCCACCAATGGGGCACAGAGGCCCCCTCCTCATGCACAAGGAGCCACGGGAGGAGGCGCCAGGCTCGAGCCCTGTGAGGGGTGCCCGTGGGCTCCTCCGGGCGCCAGGTGCAGCCCCAGGGCCCCAGGCCCTGGGCCCTCTGCATGCGCCACAGCACGGAAGCCTGGGTCCGAAAATGCAGACATGGGCCTCGCAGGCAGGCCCGACAGGACACGGCGTGCGTGCAAGCCACGCCGTCCTCCATGCAGACGCAGCACGCACTGCTCGCACGCGGCCACGATGGCCGGAACGACGCACACGTGTGCCGGCCGCCGGCTCATGCTCCTCAGCGGAGGCCATCGCTTACCAGGCCACTCAACAACTACTAGGGACACATCCCTCCAGTTCGTCCTCGTCCTCGCCCGAGTGCTTGAAGGGAACCAGACCACAAGACTGACCGGTTAGAGGCTTTCGCCAACTCCAAGGCCCGACTCACGGGCTGCCGCCCTGCCCTGCCCTGCCTCTCCGCTGCCCTGTCGAGCCGCCTCTGCGGACGCGACTGCCCCTGCGGCTCCCTTCCCCTCTCCCCGGCACTCGCCAGGGACCAGCCGGCCACGCTGGCTGCCGTGGAAGCAGAGCTGCGTGGAAAGGGTGAGGCATGCAGTCGCTGGGGCGGCCGAGTTGAGTACCTGTGGCTGGAGGAATTGCAAAGGTGGGAGGGAACCCAGCTCCTGCATACGGAGAGGCTGAGATTATACCAGGTGCACCTAGAAACAAAGAGACACTAATCACTGCACCCACAACCTGCACCCGAGAGGGGCAAGAGCCTCGCGGGCAGGTCCGCTGCTCTGCAGGGCTGGCGTGCCAGCGGGAGCTGCTCCCGGGGGCCTGAGGGCGCTGACTGAGCTACACATCCCACCCAGCCTGTGGCCTGCGCGCGTTGTGCAGGGTCAGGACGGCGTCTCACCGAAGGCCGCAGCCATGGTCTGGTCCAGCGAGGGCTGGCTATCCCCAGAGGGCAGGTCTGGGCGCGTGTAGTCGCGGCTCTTGTCGTTGTTGTATTTGACGTTGAGGCTGGTGAGCTTGGAGAAGTCGATGCGCAGCGTGCAGCAGGCGTTGTAGATGTTCTGCCCGTCCAGTGACTGCAGGGAGAGGCGGGTCAGCCATGGCCGGGCCCCAGGGCGAGCCTCCCCAGGAGGCCACTCACCAGCTTGGCGTGCTGGGCGCTCACAGGGTCCGCGTACTGCAGCAATGCCTGGAACTGGTTGTTCTTGGTGAATGTGATGATCTTCAGGACTGTGCCAAACTTGGAGAAGATCTGCGAGGCAGGGCAGCATGAGCCTCTGCACCCCAGGGAGGTGGCCCCCGGCCCCGGGCTCCTGCAGCCTCACCTGGTGCAGCACGTCCAGGGTCACAGGGTAGAAGAGGTTCTCCACGATGATCCTGAGCACGGGGCTCTGCCCAGCCATGGCCATCCCAGCATCCACAGCAGCGGCCGAGGCGGCCAAGGCCAGATTCCCCGACTGGACTGAGTTCACGGCCTGCAGGGCTGCCTGGGCCCGCTGTGGAGGCAGCACTGTGAGCCCCCTGGGGTCGGGCCCCCAGGATCGCTGGCCCCACCCCGCCCCACCCTCCACAGACCGCATACCGCTTGGTTGGGGGAGCTGTCAGTCTTGAGCTCCTTGTGGTTGGAGAACTGGATGTAGATGGGCTGGCCACGCAGCACGGGTGTCACCGAGGTGTAGTAGTTGACCATGGTGTTGGCCGCCTCCTCTGTGTTCATCTCAATGAAGGCCTGGTTTTTGCCCTTCAGCATCAGGAGGTTGGTGACTTTCCCAAAGGGCAACCCCAAGGAGATGACCTCGCCCTCTGTGACATCGCTGGGCAGCTTGCGGATATGGATCACTCGGGAGGGGACGCCCGCACTCCTGCTGTCACCTTTGAACTTCTTACTGTCATTTCCATTTGCTGAAAGGGGCGGGGGGTGGGGGGGGCTTGGGGTTGCAGCAGGAGTCTGTCCTCCCCTGAAGCCTCCTCCCTCTCTGGCCAAGGCAGAACTCCCAGGCCCTATCCTGGAGGGTCCCCCTCCTGCTCCCAGGGAAGCTGGATGAACTGGAAGCTCGAGGTCAGGACTGCCAGGACCCAGTTTCATACACACATCTGCCTGTCTACCTCCAAGAGGAGCTGGCAGTCAAGCATGGCCTAGGAATTCTGTGCCACATCTGGCCTTAGATCTGCAGTGTGGACACCAGGCCACAGGGAATGAACTTGGAAGGAGCAAGCTCCAGTCCGGCTAGGACAGGCACAGCACGACCTTAACCAGAGCCACCCCCAGCCAGCAGGCTGCGGAGGGCACTCTGAATGGGGGTTACCTGCGGAGGCGGAGTTGCTGCTCATGATAAAGGGTCCGTTAGTGACACACGCAGAGAAAAGCTCGTCAGATCCCCGCTGGAAAACAAGAACAACACCCGAGCTGCACTCCCTCAGAGACCCCGCCTCACACCACCCCAGCCCCACCCAAGAAGGCAGCTGCCCGGAGCCTGTCTGCAACTCCCCCTGCACCAGGATGCCCAGGGCTCCCAGTGGGCAGGTATGTGGGCTGCAGGCTGGGGCAACCCCACTGGCACCCTCACCATGGGCCTGGGGCACATGCCAGCAGCCACAGGGAGGGGACAGACTGCACAGCCCCCCACGCGTCTGCCCACGAGCACACAGCTGCAGCCCTGCAGCCAAAGACTGGCGGGCGTCTCGCTCCCAGCTGAGCTGCTGGCAGCTTCCGGGGAGACAAAGCTGAGCTGCCCACTGTGCTCCAGCCCCCAAGCCTGTCCTATTTTCCAGCTGCCTGAGGAAATCCGACCCTCGGCCTCAGCACACTTTTGCAGCAGTAGAGACACTGCCCCTTTATGCGTCAGGCAGGCAGTGCTACTCAGTGGCGGGCAGCGGGGTGACTGACCAAGCCTCAGGAATCACTAGGAGACCGCTCTTGGGTTAGAAAAGCAGTTGTCTACCTGATGCGGGGCTCAGATTCAAAACGTGAAACTGGAGATGACCTGGAGACAGTCCTTAGGTTGGTTACCCAGGAAACGAAATCAGGCCCGAGGACCCCGAAGACAGCACTACCAGCACACCCTGGCCCTGGCCCTCTGTCTCTGAAGCTGGCCCAGCACACTCTGGCCAGCCTGTGGCGATCTGGGGGCACTTTGGGCTGGAGAAGCGGATTGCTCCTCCTGCGCCACACAGGACTCATCTCTCTGCCTCCAGAGCCACTGCTCTGAAGGGGACCAGCACCGACGCCAGACAAGCACCAGGTCCTGGCCCCTGCCCAGTGCCCCCAGGAGCTGTTCTGGAAGTGATCACCCTTCAGACACTCATGCCTCCTCACCAGGTCCACTGAGTAAGCAAATATGGAGACCAGGAAGAAACTACAGCCGGGAGAAGAGGCCAAGGCACAGCTACTGCCAACCCCGCCAGCACCAAGCATCATACAGAGGCAGCCACCAGGGGCCACCACTCAGACCTTCGGGCCCTGTGTCCACCAAGAAGGCCTACTGGTCCCCAAGGCAGCGTCAGGGCCAAAGAACAATGCAGAACCAAGCAGAGCTAAGGCCCAGGTTTGTGCGAATTAAGTGCAGATCAGGCAAACCCAGGCCCACCTGGGGCTTCAGCCTAACCAGTCCAGTAAGCAAAAGTGGAGTCACAAGAAGGCTCAGGAGGACTGGGTTGTGCCTGCTGAGTATCAGTGGCTACAGGGAAGGAAACAGAGTCAGAAAACAATGGAGTACCTGCTACGGGCAGGCACTCCTAAAATGTAAAGCTCCACCCATCCCCCCCCCAGACACCCCCCAGGAAGTTACTCCCTGCCCACGGCACACCCTCCTGGAGGACTAGGGCCATGCTGGGGGCTTAAGGGACATCTTTCACCTGAGCTGCAGTAGTGGGCAGAGCTGCACTTCCTAGTAGTGGCCTCCTGGCTGAGCCCTAATGGTCTTCCCACAGGCAGGGCAGGCGCACCCACAACTGTCTGGGGCAGACAATTCCACGCCCACTGGGGCCACGGGCTCAGTCTGAGCAGCACTCCACACAACAGAGGCTTGGCCAGGCAGCCCAGGGTCTCCATGGAGGGCCTCTCCCAGCAAATGTGCCTTAGTCACGCACCAAGGGAAAAGCCCACGCTTGAGGAGGCTCAAGACCTCCTGTACCAGCACACCAGGCCCAGCCTTCACCAAGCACCTCCTGGGGCGTGCCTTTCCACTGGCCAGAGGCCTCACACCCCAGAGCCCTGCCTCTATCCTGTCCAGGTTGGCTTTGGTGCCATCAGGGAAACCAGACGCTCTTGAGCAGGAGTGGATGGTCCCCCAGGAAACCTCGAGCAGAGAGCCTCAGGCAGAAGGAGTTACTTCCAGCCAGACCATGCCCAAGTGAGCACTTCAGATGCCAAGCCCCACAGCTCTATCTGCAGAAAGATCCAACATGTAGACAACAGCCCCCTAGGGAAAACTGAAGCCCAGTCCAGGAACACCAATCATTGCTTTGCAGCCACAGTAGCCTCTCCAGGAATGAGCCCCAAGGACAGGACAACTCCCAGCTTTCTGTCACACCAAACAAGAAGTGACACAGCTGCTCTGCTTCCCACACCAAGGACAGGCCGCTTCCTTCTCACAGAGCCCTGCAGCTCTGGTCCTGAGCAACACCTGACCGCTAAACACCCGTCTGCCAGCTGGGCCAGGTGGCTCACACCTGCCATCCTGGCTATTTGGAGGCTGGGGCAAGAGGATCATGAGTTTGAGGCCAGCCTGGGCAGCTAAATGAGACCAAACACAACCAACCACCCAAAACTACTGCGTGTGAAACATCAGCTCCTCCACTTCTTTCTGCGTCAGGACATACTGAGATGGTCTCAGGACAAAAATCACCTGATAACTGACAACAAGGCCCCTCCTGGATCACAACACCAACCCAGACATCCTGCCTCAACTAGGAGAACTCTGCGCACTGGACCTCACTCACTCCCACTGCAGAGCTCTGGACACATCAGACAGCTCCCCTCCACAGCGCAGGGGCTTTTTTGAATTTGGAGACTGATTCCCAACAAAGAAGTACAGAGTCCTCAGAGTGTTTCACTGAAACACACAGAGCTGGGAGCCAGACAGTGCCAAACCATCAAACCTGCTGGCTGAGAACTCACACCATGGCCTACACCTTGACAATCTGATGTGGACAGGGGTCAAAAACTCCTGCCGGTAAACCCTACCAGCCGATCCAGCTTGTGAACCAGGAGGAGTCGCTTTAGAAACACAGCCCTCCACTCTAAGCCAGCAGGGGACAGGGCAAGCCCAGAGCTCGGCACAGTGCAACCAAGAAGAAAGTGAGCTGTGCCTACCTTCGTGCCAACTGCTATGTCTGGGACGATGCTGTGGAGAGAAAAGGAGAGATGTCAGCAAGATGTGCAGCCAGGGGCAGAGGCCAGCAGGGCCAGCCAGGAAGCTTGAAGGGGCTGGGAAGTGAGCGGTCCACTTACTCAACTTGAAAGGGGCCACCATTGTCCTTCAGCGCCCCTCCCTCCCAGCAGGACCCCAGGCCCCGCCTCTGGACGGTGCCCAGAGGTAGAGACAAAAGACACTCCCTCCAGAGCCGGGGCTGGCCTTTAAAGTTCAGGGCTGCTGTTTGCTTTCTGTAAAAATGGAAGCGCTGGGAGAGGCCGCAGGCTTCCGCCCCGGCGGGGGCAGGGGCCCCGCGGCGGCCCGAGCGGCCGGTTCCAGTTAGCCAACTTAGCAGGCGAGCCCCAACACAATCCGAGTTACTCATCAACCTGCTCCGCGTGACCGGACTTTCTCCCTCGCCTCCACCACGGCCCGGAGCCGGCGCCCGCCCGCCCGGGCCCCCGCGAGCCGAGTCCCGCCGTCCGCCCCGGGAGGGAACCCCGGCCTCCCCACCAGGCTGAGCACCGAGGCCGGCTTCGACACGCTCCCCGCGACGCAGCAAGGCACCACTTCCCAGACGCGCCGGGAGCGCCGTGCAGCGGCCCGTCGGCAACCGGCCCGCGAGGTTGAGACCCTGGCCACGCGCGCCCCCGGCCCCGGGACCCCGCCCGACCCGGGAGAGAGCCCGCGCGGCGGGAAAGGCGCGCGCCCCCGCCGAGGGCCGCGCACGCGCACCGGAGCCCAGGGTGCACGGGCGCACGCGCGCGCGGCGCCGGACGGGGCGTGCTAAGGAACTTCCGCGCGCCCGGAGGCGGCGCATGCGCGCATGGGGGACGGGAAGCGAGTAGGGCCGCACGACGTCGTGGCGGATCGGACACGGCACACCGGGGCCGCGCGCGCGGAAGGGCGGGGAGAGGGCGCGGGGCAGCATGAGCTCAGAGCCCGGCGCGCAAAAGCCGGAAGTCCACCAAGAGGCGATCCGGAGACAGGCCTCGGAGCCAGGGCGCGGCCCATCCTTCCCCGCAGACCAGGTCCCGCGCGTGCCACGCGGACCAGAGACCCCGCGCGCGCACCAGCCCGGGTGGCAGCGGAGAAAGTCCGGGTGGGGACGAAGGAAGGGCCGGAGCGCGAAGAGAATGGCGGGCGCGGGCGCGGCGCGACTTACCCGTCCATGGCACACAGAGCAGACCCGCAGGGGACGGAGTGGAGGCGCCGGAATAGCAGGAACCGACCCAACGGCTCCGAGTTATAGACTCACAAGATGGCGGAGACGCCCGCACACGTCCCCCGCGCGCGCTGCCCATTGGCTCCCGCCGCGGCCAGGGGCGGGGACAGTCCCGCTGGTCTCCGCTAGTGCCTCTCAATGGCCAGGAAGCCGCTCAGGGGGGTGGGGCTGAGAGAGGTAGCAGGCGGCTATTGGAGGAAATGGCCGTCCTTCAGGGAAGAAGGCGGAAACGACCTGTGAAGTAGGGATAGGGCGAGAAAGGGTGGGAGCACGTGATGGCTTTTGAGCCAATGGGCGGCCTGCCACCCGGCGTGTGGCTTTGCGGAAGAAGCCATCTTGAGAGTGGGTACGTGGCGTGTCAGGCGGCGAGAAGCGTGCTTGCCTCCGGCTGCTGCCATCTTTCAAACGGGCAGGGGCCGTACGCCCGCTGCGTGAGGGCAAGGGGAGGTGTGTCGCCATCTTGGAGTCGGGCAGGAAACCTGCAGTGCTCCATCTTGCCTGTGGGCACAGAGCCAAAACGTCGGATTCATACCGAACCTTTGCTAGGGGACTGGCGCGGGGACCTTGGAACCTGCGGGCGCGGCGTGATCCTGGAGTCACCGCCGACTCTCCTCAGTTCGCCCCAAAGCAACCAAGTCCGACCGCGAGTGCAGGGGTGGGGAAACTGAGGCCTGGAAGCAGGGTGGGCAGCTGCAGCTGGGGAGACGGGCCCGGACGCACGCTCGGCCAGAGTGGAGTCCCGCCCCCCGGGCCCCCGCCCGGCGGAACGCCCAGAGTCAAGCCCGGGCCCCGCGGGAGCCCGCCTGCCCCGGCGCTGCTGCCCTGTTGCGGGCCTGGCCGCGGCCCAGCTGCCTGCGGGCCCGCTGCCAGAGGATTCCAGCCGGGATTAGCGGCGGCTGCCGATTTCCACGGAGGCCCCCCCGGCCGGCTGCCGGCCGGACCCCGGAATCGCTAATCAGGAACGTCCCGGTGGATTTAGGAGAAGCCGCGGTGCACGCCCGTGGATTTGCGCGCCCCGGGACGCCCGTCCGGGCCCTGGCTGGGGCCACCAGGGCCGGCTGCTCGTCTTTGTTCCCTGTGAGGCTGGTGCCAGGGCGGGCTCCACCCTCGCAGACAGGCCGGGGAGGGAGCCCAGGTGGCAGCCAACGTGGGTGGAGACCAAGCGCCATGCCCAGGTCTCAACCGTCAGAAGCGCATTGAAACCCACTTATGGCCCTCCCGGGGCTCCGTGTTGCTCACGATGCAAGCCACCCCACCTTCAGCGCCCTCCAGGGTTCCCGAGGCCTTTCACACAGGCCTCGCAGGCAGGCTCTTCCGTAAACTTGCCAAGCTCCCTCTGCGCCCGTCCTGGGGCCTTCACACGAAGCTCCCCGGGCCAGGTGCGGGCTTCTCCCCAGCTCTGCTGGAGCTCCTGACCGCGTGAATCAGGCCAGCTTCAGGTGAACTCTGCCAGGGACTCTAGAGAACAGGATGCGAGGGGTGGCCTTAACCAGTTCAGCCAGGGGTCACCTTGTGTCTCCTGCAACCCTGAGTCCTGCCACTCAGAACTCCGCAGGGAGGGGGCCACTAGCCCACCCTGATCCAAATTCCAGGTAACTGCTCCTCACTAAGGGAGGGCAGGCAGGTCCTGGACTCTGGTAGCCTGGGCGAAGCTGGACTCAGACCAAGTGCCAGGGTCCTGTTCTGTTTTTGGTCCTAGGAATTTGACCCACCAAGTCACATCCTCAGCCCTTATTTTGCCAAGTTGCGGGGACTGGCCTGGAACCTGAGGCTGCCTGAGCCTCCTGCGTCACTGGGGTGACAGGCCACCATGCCTGTCCTCCTATGGACTGTTGGCATTGCAGTTAAGGGCCCACCTGGGTGATCCAGAAGTGGCCTCATCTTGAGGCCCTAAATTGGGTCTGCAAAGACCTTTCCCAGTGCATGTGTGCTCACGCCTGCGGGGGACGAGGGTGGACGTGGCTGTTTGGAGGCAGCCTCAGCACCACTCCTCATCCCAAGCTCCAGAGTGGGAAGGGGCTGTGGCTGGCCCTCCATCATGGCAGTGGGGGCCTGGACCAGGGCCCCCAGGTGTCCTAGCTGGATGGGCTTGGACAGGACAAGCATGGGACCAGCCCTTGCACAGATGAGCTGGCCTGGTGCAGAGCATGGAGGCAGATTGTAGGGCTGCTGTCTGCACCTGGTGCATTCGGCCAGCAGGCCCGGCCTGACCAGCTGCTGCCTTCATTAATGATTCAGGGTCCGGACAAGCTCACCTTGTCTTTGAGAGTGTGGCGGCATGCTTGTCACCACAGGAAGACGATACTGTCCTCACCGCGGGAGGGTGCGCCCAAGGCCCATCAGGAGCCACTCCAGTTCTTACAGGGAGAGAGAAGAGCCGTGCCTCAGTTTACCCTTTCATCAAAATGAGGGCCGGGGGCTGGGCTCAGGGGCAGAGCTCGCCTGGCCCACATGAGGCCCTGGGTCCCATCCTCAGCACCACATAAAAATAAATAAATAAATACATAAGTAAAATAGAGGTCTTTTAAAAAATGAGGGGCGGGGGAGCTGGCGCCTCTCCACGGGCTTTCCTGGACATCACACTACAGTGGCCGGTTGGAGGATGTCCACTTGTTGCCAGCACCATGCCGCACACCCCACAGGCTGAGACAGAAGGGTCACAGGTTCCAGTCAGCCTCAGCAACTTAGCAAGACCCTGTTACAAAATAAAATTTAAAAAGGGCTGGGGATGTGGCTCTGGTAAAGCCACCCTGGTTTATTTCCCATTACCACCAAAAAAAAATTTTTTTTTTTTGTTTTTTGTTGTTGTTAATCTGTTTACTGCCTTGATTGCGAAATCCACAGGGCAGGGATCCAGGGCAGGGCCGCAGGGGACCTCCCAGCCTCCTTGACCCATTTCCCACATTTCTGTTGGACTAAGCTTAGGGTGGGGATGGGTGGGGCCACACCTAAACCCTCCACGCTGGGGGCTGGGCTGAAGAGCCGCCTCCAGCCGCCTGACCAGGTAGTCTGCGAACAAGTGGCCTTCAGGCCTCAGAGCCAGGCCAGCCCCACCCCTGCGGTGTGGTGCAGGGGTGAGCATGGTGGACTTCTGGAGAGGCCCAGGCCCTTACCCTGCACTGCCAAGACCACCTTTGTAGCCCTCCCCCACCAGCACCCTAGAGCAGCCTCACCCCTCCTCAGGCCTGGGTGCCCCTGAGGATGCCCCACCCTGCCCCCAGTGTCCTCCCCATCGCAACTTGGCCACACCTTGTGGGAGTCCAGCCAGCCAGGCAGCTCCCAGAGGACTTGCTGCCCCAATACCCTCCAGCCCCCTCCCTGGGGGTCCCTGGGAGCAGCAGGGGGTCAAGCTCAGACCAATAGCCTTTGCTGTTGCACAGATTGTCCGGGAGGTGGACCTGTGGGCAGCAAGGAGTCTGGCTGTCCTCAGAGGGTTGAGTGGAGGAAGCTCAAGACCTGGTGCTGGGCACGATGGCCCGATGGTCGGGTCAGTCACCCCGGCAGCCTGGGAGGCCAAGGGCAGCCTGGACAGATCCTGCCTCAAAATAAAGTAGGAAGGGCGGGGCCCTACGAGGCCAAAGCCAGGAAGAACGTGCGGAGGCAGGTGACGCAGCGGGGGCCTGGGTGGCTGGAGGTGTCCCTGGGCCGTGCCTTGGGCCCCGAGCTGCTTCCCTCCTCCACCCTCCTCCCCTCGGTGTCTTGCCTCATCTGGGCCCAGAGCAAGAGTAGGGCATCTCCAAGTTGCTCTCGTCTTTTGGTCACAGGGTGAAGAGCTGACTAGGGCAGGAGGTGGAGGCTGCAGGAGCAGGACCCAGTAGGAGGGACAGGTCCCCAGGGCTTCCCTGAAGGGCACTGCTGTCCGGCCCCTTCCTCCCCTCCTGGGCTTGGCTTCCCTCTGCCACCCCTCCTGCCATGGCCTCCCCCCTCACCTGGGCCCAGAGTGACAGTGTCAGCTGACCATGGCCTAAAACCTCTGAAACCAGGAGCCAAATAAACCTTTCTACCCCAAGTCGGTTTTCTCAGGTATTTTGTTACAGTGACGAAAGCTGCCCAACGAAGGCCCTGAAGAAGGCCTCCCTCAGCCTGTGCTGGGGCCGGACCTAGGGCACCATCACCGCCACCCCGCCATGGGCACATGCCATCTGTCCTATGCTGCCGGGGAGAGGCCAGCCTGGTGCTGCTCTGTGGGACTCTCTGAGGAGACAGCACTTTTTGTGTATTTTTCCACTTCTTTATGGGACCCCAGAGTCTAGCTGCCCTTGTCGAATGCCCCTTCAGATTTCTTGAGCCACACCGTGCACCTGAGCAGCCTTGGCCAGAATCTTGCATCTGAGGAGCTCCCAGGACCTGCCGTGGGCCAGCAGCGCTGCAGGGGCACACTCATGGGCTGCAGGCCCACGGCAGGGAGGACCCCTGAGCGCAGGTCCCTGGCAGGATCCAGCCCTGGAGGCTGCCAACGGGGAGAGGCACGTGAACCTGCAGAAGCCTGCAACCCTGGCCAGTGCTGGGCACGGGCAGCACAGAGCCTGGTGGACACACCGTGGGGAAGCCTCGGGGCCAGGACGCCAGCTATGGAGGACAGACTGCTGGACTGACGGGGATGGAACCAGCTGCTGGGTCCGTCTGCTCCAAGAGTCTGAAAGAGTCAAGCAGCTGCAGAGAGATGTTCTGGAACCCTCTGTCGCAGTGCAGTGCCCACACCACACGAAGCCCCCGACTCATGCGTGGATTCAGCATGGCCAGAGGCCACCTGTTCACTGTGATCCCAGCCGCCACCCCGACCAGTGCAGGGAAAGTCTCAGCCTCCAGAAGGAGCCCGTCCCCCGCAGCCTCCATCCCCCCATCCCTGCACCCGCGGGTTCACTCTGGTCTCTGGACCCTCCTGACCTTGGGCCACGCGCTGCGGCCTGTGAGTCTGGCTCTCCCTGAGCCCGAGGCCCTCAGGTGGGTCTGTGTGGCAGCTGTGTCAACTCGGTCCTGCCGTGGCTGAGGGCTGTCCAGTTGTGTGTGGTCATGCTGTGTCTCCCTTCACCCACGGACCGATGCCCAGGCTGGCCGCCCCCCCACCTTCTCCGCCCCCTGTAGAGCTCGGTCTGTCTCCAAGCCCCTCCTCCTCCAGTGAGGACGCAGGTCATTCTGGATCAGGGTCCATGCTGGCCTTGGTGGATTCTGGGGAAGACGGTTTCCAAGCAAGACCTCACTCTGAGCGGTGGGGTTGGACGTCACCGAGACCCCTGAGCGCGGACCTGCTGGGTCCCCTGCTCTTTCTGGGTGCAACCCTTCAAGAAACCCGGAATGTATTCTGCAGCCCAGGTGGGACTTCCGGTCCCTCCACATCCTGCCAACGCTTGTGACCAGGTTCCTGCTTCCCCTAGTGTCCTTCTCCTGCCCTGGGACCCGATCAGGACCCCGTGTGTCACCGTCACCACACCCCCTCTGGGCTCCCTGGACGGTGTTGAGAGGAGTGGTGAGGTTTCATGGGCTGCCCCTCAGCTGGGACTGTCAGTTCTCCTTGTTCTGTGACGGGGTGGGGCCAGGAGGACGCTCCAGGAGGGCCTGTCCTCCGCCCCCTCCAGGTCTGTGCCCTCAACAGGCCCTGGCTGCTGCCCTGGCCTTGGTCTCCTGCCGAGTTGGGGCGTCTCCCCTTCCCCGCTGGAGGGCAAGTGTCCACCTGCTGTGGTTTTTGAGGGGTTTGTGGGGCCTGTGGGCTGTGCAGGAAGCCTGGGCCTCTGAGGAAGACAGACAATGGAAACAGGGAGGGGACAGGCCACCACTGGCAGCTGGGCAGGAAACAGGCACAGAGAGAAGACAGGAAGTCCCCAGGAGAAAGGAGTGAACGGGGGACGAGGGCCGGCCACTCTGGGAGCCAGGCCAGGTGCAGGAGGGACCTAACTGGGCATTGAGATGTGTGGCCGGACATGTCCCCTGGTTGGCCCGGGCACTGCAATGGGCACTGGGACTCAGGTCTGCGACATCAGCAGGTAAGCTGGGTGCACACAGTGGCAGGCCCCGGCACAGGGCCGGGGGCGGACACCAAGGGAGCTGCTGTGGAAGGTGGTCAGGGCTGGAGGGAAGAGCCGAGGGTGTGGGGCTGCCAGGCCAGGCCAGCAGAGCAGGGTGGGAGGACGCGAGCCCCTGCCAGCTTGCCTTCGAGGCCCTGCAAAATTCATTAAAGGGAGTGTCCCGTAGGGGCAGGGAATGTGAGCCGGGCTGAAAGTGATCTGTGGCCATCTGCTTGCTGTGCGTCCCCAGGGTCATCCACAGGGGCTTTGGTGGGGACACCGAGGCTGCAGCCCCAGATGCACAAGGAGACCCACCTGGCCTCAGCCATGGCTGCCCGCTGTGTGCTGACTGGGCTCTGGTCAGGCCCACTCTGTCCTTGGCTGCAGACCTTGACTTTTATAACTGACAGGTATGAGGCCCCCAGTAGAACAAGGAGCCACATGGAAAGTCGGCCACTGCAGGGGTGCCGGGAGGCCTGCTCGCATCCTGGTGACTGCCTGGGGACCCTGGCCATGCCACGGACCGTGGCAGCTGTTCAACGGGCGGAGATCCTGGCATGGGCGGGTGGAGAGCTGCCCAGCTCCCTCCAGCCCAAGACACCACCGAAAAATGACTCAGCCACATGTCCGTGGTCCTCAGGGTGGCCCCACTGTCCCCTGAAATCGTGCCCCTGGGTTGGGCCCCACTTCAGTGAATTCTGGGGGAGACTGGTCTGTGTCCCACAGGAAGCCCAGCAGGTCCCGTGGAGTCCAGGGCAGGATGAGCAGACACCCCAGGTTTCATCACCGGCGACACAGGAAACCAGAGACAGTGGCTCTCAGTGGTGACGCCACCATCATCAATAGTTTACAGCAGGTAATGGACACTCGACCTGGGTCTCAGGCTCAGGTGGCCACAGTACAGCTGCCAACCTGGGGCTGTGTCAGAACAGGAGGGCAGCTGACTCCTGCCCACAGGCCCCAAAGACCCAGAAGCCAGCAGTGCACTTTCTGATGGGCCTGGTCTCAGCTGAAGGAGGCCCCAAGGCCCTTCCTGCACTGGCCAGGGCTGACAGGGCAGAGGTTGGGAGGACGGTAGGGAAGGGGGCAGAGCCAGCCACTGCTACACCTGCTGCACTCCGACCCAGAGACAGGGAGAGACACTCAGCCCCTTTGAGCACAGGGAGGGGCCAGGTGCAGGGGGCCACGCCTCCTACCTCAGCGACCCAGGGGGCTGCGGCAGGGCATGCAAGGTCCAGGCCGGTCTGGGCCATGCAGCCAGAAGGCATCCCAAGCTAAATCTGGCTGGGATGCAGTCCAGGGGAAGAGCACCTGGGTTTAACCCCAGCACCGTTAGCCCCAGGGAGACACTCACGTGCCCTGGGGTGACTATGACCAAAAGATGTCACGAGGGAGAGCTGCCAGCACTGTGCAGAGGTCAGCAGCCTCAGGACCACCACTGCTGGTGACCAGCCTGGCAGCGCCACCAAGGTGAAATGCAGTCACCACCAGGGCCAGCAACCCCTCCTAGTGGATGCCTGAGTCCAGAACAGACAGCCGACACACAAAGGGTGCACACGGAAACAGCCAAGGTCCACCAACAGGAGGTGGACACACAGCCTGGCCACGCACACCTGGAGCGTCCTGGCCAGGGCAGGAGCGAGGTGACACACTGCAGCATGGGTGGACCTGAGGACCACGTGCTCAGTGACAGCCAGGCACACAAGGCCCAGTGACAGAGGAGTCCAGGGCAGGAGGCTCCAGAAATCGACGTGCACCCGCGGGTGCGACGGGGCTTGCTTTTTCCCTGAAGCTTTCATGAATGTGTCTCTCTAGAGATCATGAATATCACATGTCATTGTCACAACTCCATAGCCCGATGGAAGGGAGCTGAACACGCCTGTCAACAGACACTCAATGTCCTCTTTCAGAGTATTTCCTATGGAAAGTAAGTTCATCTGCAGAGGTGTGTGTGAGTGTGTGTGTGTGTGAGTGAGTGTGTGTGCCTCTGTGTGTGTCTCTCTGTGTGTCAGAGTGTGTGTCTCTGTGTGTGTCTGTGTGTGTGCATCTGTGTGTGTGAGTGTGTCTCTGTGTGTGTCTGTGTGTGTGCATCTGTGTGTGTGTGACTGTGTCTGTGTGTCTGTGTGTGTGTCTCTGTGTGTGTGTGTCTGTGTGTGTCTCTGTATGTGTGTCTCTGTGTGTGAGAGTGTGTCTGTGTGTGTGTGTCTGTGTGTGTGAGTGTGTGAGAGAGTGTGTGTGCCTCTGTGTGTCTGTGTGTGTGTCTCTGTGTGTGTGTCTGTGTGTGTATCTGTGTGTATGTGTCTGTGTGTGTGTCTCTGTGTGTGTGTCTCTGTGTGTGTGTCTCTGTGTGAGTGAGTGTGTGTGCCTCTGTGTGTGTCTGTGTGTGTGTGTCTCTGTGTGTGTCTCTGTGTGTGTCAGAGTGTGTGTCTGTGTGTGTGTGTCTGTGTCTGTCTCTGTGTGTGTGAGTGTGTGAGAGAGTGTGTCTCTGTGTCTGTATCTGTGTGTGAGTGTGTGTGTGAGTGTGAGTGTGTGTGGGTGTGAGTGACAGGGCTTCACTTTACTATGCCCCTTGAGGCTTTGGAACTTACAAGGCTTCTCTTTTTCCCTAATCTTCTCCCTGAACTTCTCCTCCCTGATCTCATTTTCTCTGAATGTCTCCGTGATAAACCTCGGTCTGCCCAGGGGCAGAACCGCAGCCTGGGGAACCGGACCTGTCTTGATATTGAACTGGCGTCGAGGACGAGGACCAAGCTCTGGTTACGTGTGTGGTGTGTGCATTTGGTGGCCCGTTGCAGTTTCCTGTGGCTGGTGACAGCAGTGCTGGAGAGCCAGCCTCGCCCTGCGCCTCGCTCCCCGGCTCTTCCTGCCCGTCTGCTGCTGGGATCCGCAGGGCCTTGATACATTTAAAACCAAATTCCAAGTCTCCCAGCTGCTAGAAAACATTTAAAATTAGAATGGGCTACAAAGGAGAAGACAACCACCCCAGTGACGGAGGCAACAAGTGTCAATATTGCAGGTGTTGATACATTGTACAGGTTTTAAAATTTTTATTTTGTAGCTTTAGATTATTCTTTTTCGCCCAAATAACGCTTGTTCCCTATTTTTACTTTCCCTTTTTGTCCTGAGAATTGAATCAGAATGCTCTACCACTGAGCTGTACCCCCAACCCTGTTTGAGACAGGGTCTCTTAAGTTGCTGAGGGTGGCCTTGAACTTGCAACCTCCTGCCTCAGCCTCCCCCCATGGATCGAACGACAGGCGTGGCCACCATGCCTGGCCTACTTATTTCACTTTTTTTAAAAATATATTTATTTTTTTAGGTGTAGATGGACACAACACCGGGCCTTTAATTTTATGTGGTGCTGAGGATGGAACCTGGGTCCCCTCCCGCCCGTGCTAGACAGGGCTCTACCCCTGAGCCACAATCCCAGCCCCTTATTTCACTTTTTAAAATGAAAGTCAAGCCACCCTGAGCTCTTTCCTCCCACACCCCAAGCTTCTCTGTGGAGCCAACAGGGTCTGAATTCGTGGACGTCACCCTGGAGGACAGTCACCCTGGAGGACAGCCGTGGGATCACCCCCTGTGGCAGGCCCCGCCAACTTCCCTCAGCACCACCCCTCCCGGTTTTCCACACAACTTCCTCTTTTTCTCAAGATAAAATAGGTCCCAACAATGAAAACAAACACTCGGAGACGTTCACATTCATCTCCAAAGCGGGCCTCTGGAACGCCCTTGGTCACTTCCAGATATTGTGGGGGATTCCGGTCAGGCACCCCGGCAGCCAGGACCCGCTCACTTGTTTCAATCTAGTACTTTTCCAGCCATCTGCAAAGTCTCCCTGCAACAGTCCTGTCCCTGGGGGTCCCTGCTCCCCCTGGCCCCGAGAAGTCAAAGCCAACAGGGTCTTGCCCACAGCCTCGATTCAGAGGAGAGGCTGACCCCAAGAACCCAGAGTTCCCCAGGCTCTCTGAAGCATGTCCTTGATAGTTCACCTCCCAACTGAGGAATGAGTGATAAGGCAGAGGGCGGGGAGGGGCCTGCAGCCCTCCAGTGGGGCTCCTGGCTCTGGTCCCTCCTGGGTTCCCTGGTCCCTGCATCCCAGGCGGCTGGAAGGGTCTGTGGTCCTGGGCGGAGCAGGGAGGCCAGCATTCCTCAGATTGTTTATTTGTTTGTTTAATCTGGGCTGGGCCAGGAACACCTCCTCCCGTCTGCATTGGGTGGTATTTGGATTCTTGCTGCAGCCCAGAGCCCCTGTCCTGGGTTTCCCTGCTGGGCCCCGGGTGGTGCCCTACTCCAGATGCACACTGGTGGCTACTGAGCTTTCTCCCCCGCCCCCCCCCTGCCCCCGTGCTGGGCTGGACCTAGGGCCTCACGAATGCTGGACAGCGCTGACCACTGAGTGCTACCGCCCTGTTTGCTTTTGTCCCACGCATTCAGTCCCTAAGTCCCTAGGCCTCCCAGCCTTGCCCTGTGGCCCCTATGACCCTCTGCAGACCCTCCCCAGCTCAAAGTCACCTACCATGTGGGACAACCACTGTCCAGCCAGCACACGGCTCCTGTCCCTCCCAACTTGGTGGCCGAGGATGACCGAGATGGGAAGATGAGATTCCTGCTGCCGGCAGCCAGGTGGGATCTCTGTGGACCCCGAGGTCTGGATGTCAGGAGGGCCAGGGAGGCAGAACCCCGGGCAGTGGGCACCACTGAGACTAATGTCCCTCACTTGATGAAGCACTCACAGGGGTCAGCCATCCGTCCCCAGAGCCTGTGTTTGGGCCCAGCACTGCCCTGGAGGGTCCCAGCAGGTGGCCTGCGTGGGAACCACCCCCAAAGGCTGAGCTTGTGGAATCCTGGGATGGTAGCAGCAGGTAGGTGTGCCTTCCTGGGTGACGCACACCCAGACACCTTGCCTCTGGTGGAGTCATGCACATCGAGGCCTGGGCGGCCCCGGAGGGAGGCTGAGGTGCCCGCTGTGGCCTCGGAGGAGGGGTTGGGGAGTGGATCCCCTTCCTGCAGACTTGGACCCTCGGGGAAGGAAAAGCAGGGTGGCGCGTAGGGTGGTGGACCGTCCCCCAGCATGCCCCTGCTCTGAGGTCTCCCCAGCACTGCAGAAAAAGAGAAGAAAAGCAGGTGGTTGTCCTCAGGGAACTGGGGACTGAGGATCACCTCCACCCTCCCCTGGTCTGAGCACTTCCAGGGCCAGCATCCTGTCCCCAGAACATGGCCCCGGCTCAGCACCCCTGGGCGACACTCAGCCCCTGACCCGCCCGGGATGGCCAGCACAGACCTGAGCCCACACCCTGCTGCCTAGTCAGTGGTCAAGTGGACACAGACTGGAACCTCAGAATCTGAGCCAAAGAAACCCTTCTTCCTCTACGTTGATTTTCTTTCTTTCTTTTTTTCTTTCTTTCCTTCCTTCTTTCTAGAAATAGAATTTTATTGTATCTTTTAAGTAACTGTGGTACAGGGTGGTGGCTCAGCGGTAGAGCACTCGCCTAGCATGCTAAGGGTTCGACCCTTAGCACCACATACAAAATAAAACAAAATAGAGATATTGTGTCCACCTATAACTAAAAAATAAATATTAAAAAAGTAACTGTTGCACAAAGAAACTACAAATTATGAACTCCAGAATGCTTCCAAATAATTTATTTTCACATGAATTTTTTTTTAAATCTACTACACGGGTAAGTATTATTGTCTTTTTTTTTTTAAGAGCGAGCGAGAGAGAATTTTAATATTTATTTTATAGTTTTCAGTGGACACAACATCTTTGTTTGTATGTGGTGCTGAGGATCGAACCCGGGCCTCGTGCATGCCAGGCGAGCGCGCTACTGCTTGAGCCACATCCCCAGCCCATGATTTGGTTTTTTATCAAGCAAATTTTCTTTGCAAACCTTTATTTATATATCTGTTATTATTTTTAGTGAACTGTAGCTATACGTAATAGTGGAGTTCATTTGACATATTTATAAATGCATGTAAAATAGTTTTGTCCATTTCCATTCCCATCATTCTCCCTTCCCTCCCTTTCACCCTTCACCTGAGAAGCTGATTTTCTTTTTATTTGTTTTCTCTTGTTTCATTGTTTCTAAGCTGATTTTCTCATGTATTTTGTCACAGTGACGGAACTGACTAACACTGTTAGTGAACAGAGGAGCCACTGAATCCAGGGTACATCTGGGCAAAGCTGTTTAAGCATGACCTTAGTGAGACAGTCAGATGATACGTCTTAGATGATCTTAGTTGGCACAGTCCAGGGGCATGTGGTACATTCAGAGGTGCAGGAATCACCTCTACCTGATTCTAGAGCATTCTTGTCACCACAAAGGGAGGACTCCTGCCTATGAGCAGCCAGCCCCCTGTCCCTCCCAGCCCTGCACCCACAGGTCCACGTCCTGTCTCTCCATTCCTGTCCTGGACTCTCCTGTCATGGGGTCACACTGGCTGTCACTGAGCATGAGGTCCTCAGATCCCTCCACACTGCAGCTGTCCCCTCGCTCCTGCTGGTGTCCGAGAATGCTCCAGGTGGATGAGCAGTACCTCTCCACCTAAGTGTGGACAGCAGGGCCACCCCCCGATGTGTGGGCTTTGGTGGACATCTGTTTTCAGGCATCGGGGTGCCTTGGGTAGCAGCACCTGCTTTACCTTGGTCCTGCTAGCAAGTACCGTCCTGTACCCTGAGGACGGAGCCTGGAGCCGGGGCTCTAACAGAATGCCTCAGCTGCCACCTGGGTCCCCATCCCCACTGCCCCCTCCTAGAGCAGTCAGGGACGCCCTCAGAGCTGCGAAGGGCACAGCAAGTCTCCATCAGGCGCCCAGCAGGGAGGTTGAGAAATTCCAACAAGTCCAGGCAGCCTCATGGTGAGCTGCGCCCTGGAGAGACCTGCTGGGGCTGTTTGCCCTGATGCTGAGTCTGGAGGCCACGCTCCTGACAACGGTGAGCATCTGTCTGGGGCCCCTGCATGGCTTCTGGCTGGTGCTTTCCGCCTAGAATGGGAGAGAGGAAGGGGAGGGTCCTGGGCGCCTGCTCCTGGCCCAGCGCCTTCACCCCCCTCAGGCCTCCCTGCAACTGGGGAGACTGAGGCTGGGTCAGTCTCTCGGAAGCTTGGGGCGGTGGGCACAGGGCTGGAGCAGCCCACCTGGACCTCCGTCGGCCTGCGGGGCTGGAATGAGCAGCACAGGAGACCCTCAGCAAGGCAGTGTGCTCCAGAGGTGGACCCAGATGGAGGTGCCCACACACCGACCGCCCGGGGTGCCTCCATGGCCTTGTCCACAGCAGCCCAAACCTGGGGGCACCTGAGACTCCCGGTGGGTGAGACAGATGGGCCCAGACGGACGGCTGGAAAGAAAGAGCTCCTGAGCCATGATGAGCCGGGAGCACCCCTAAGGGAGGCCCCAGGCTGCAGAGGCCACGCCCTGGGCAACTCCAGCCTGACATCCTGGAGAGGGCAGAAGTGTGCCCACAGCCCAGACCTGGGGGCCGGCGGGGGCCAGGACGGCAGGCAGAGCCTGGAGGACTTCTCAGGCCCCGGAAGGTCTGGTTCAGTCTGCGGACAGGTGTCCTTTATCAAGATCCCAGCCACGTGCGGCTCCCGAGGGAACCTCAAGTAAACCTGTGAGTGTCGCTGAGGACCACGTATCCAAGTTGGCTCACCCACAGGTGGGGCGGCCGGACACTTCCCGTCCCCTGCCCCACTTTCCTGTCCACTTAGGGCTGCTCAAGAAATAGGCTCTTGGGCGGGGCTGGGGCTCAGGGCCGAGCGCTGGCCCAGCACGTGTGAGGCACTGGATCCGACTCTCAGCACCGCAGATGAAACAGACGGACAGACAGACAGATGAAATAAAGGTCCATTAACAACTACAGAAATCTAAAAAGTAAATGAAGTCTCCAACAAAGGGACTGCGGGTGAGGACCAGTGTGGGCGGGGCCTGGGCCTGGTCCCTAGCCCTGCAGAGGCCACCGAGGTCCATCTGTGGCCGCGGGGTGGGGGCCGGCCGCTGTGGGTCACTGATGCTGGACTGTGGCCGGCAGCCCTGCACACTGGTGGGCACCGGCACCTCCCTCTGCCCACTCCTGGGACCGCAGGACTCTGGAGGGTTTTCTCTGCTCTTGGGCAGCCCAGGACGGGAGGGCAGACCCCTGTGGCCACCCTCCAGGCCTTAGCCCACAGGGCCAGCCCCTCGTGGTCCTGCCGGCCACTGGCTACGTCACAGGAAGGGGGGCTTCAGTGGGACACTTTGCCCTCCCACAGATGACTGATGAGGCCTCCGTGGCACCTGGAGAACTTTCCAGGGCCCCTGTTATAAATGGGGCCAGGTGACAGTGCCCAGCTGCCAGGTGGCCGGGTCTGGGCTCCCAGGCTCCAGGTGTCCCTGTGGTTCCAGCGCCTTCCAGCTGCCTAAGCCAAGCTGGGGTCCAGGCACCTGAAGGCCCCCAGCCCGACTCCCCGCGGCCTCCCCTGGGAGAGCCCTCTGCCAGCCTTCTGTGGACCCTCCCCCTCTAAGGGGTCCTGGGCCTTGGCCTTGGAGCAGAGCAGGGGTCATCACTCCAGTGGATGGTAGGGCCCACCCTGACCCTGGGCCTTGCCCTGCCTTTGCTCTGCCCAGTGGCCAGGGGCTCACTGAACCCCAGCCTGGGGCTCCTGAGGGCCAGGCCCAGGCTCTTGGGCTCTGAAAGAAGTTTGTCTTAGTACAAATCAGGCCAACTGGGGCTGCCTCCTCTGGGGAGGACACTTGGCCGTCGGCAAGAGCCTGGGGAGGTGGGCCACGCGCTGGCTGGTTCCCGCACCCACCAGCCCAGAGCAGCGAGCCTGCACCCTGGGCGCTGGTCCAGCTGGGCACTCCACGGGCCAGCAAGCTGAGGCCCCGGCCAGACCAGGGGTCGACACTGCCCTTTGGCCTCAGATTCCTCTGGAAGCTGAGGGACCCGGGGCCTCACTCAGGGGGAGGTCCCAGGAGCAGTGTCCTAGTCTGGGCACTTCATTCCCGGGTGCTCTGAGCAGCCTTCCCGGCTGTGGGTGACCTGGGCCCAGCCTCAGGGAGGCACACCCGGGTCGCCCTGGGTCAAGAGCAACAGCGGGAGCCTGGTGGGGTGGGGGCGGCTCCCGAGGGCTTCTGCCCAGGGGTGTGGCTGCAGTGAGGCCACAGGGAGGGTGGCCTCTACTTCCCTTCCCCACGAGTGGCAGGAGCAGGCGATGGAAGGACACGCTGTGGCACCGCGGGCTCCGGGACTCGCGGGGTCCTACCTGTCCTGGCCCAGAGGGAGCCAACCGTGGGAGCCCGCTCTTACCTGGCTGGGGTCTGGACCCTGGGTCTGGTCAGCTGAGGCCCTGTCGGCCCACCCCTTGTCCTCTGGGTCTGTCTGGACAGTTCTCACGCCTGTACCCGGGTGTTCTTCCTTGACACACATGTGTTTTCAGTCCCTGATTTTTAAATCAGGGACAACAGTGACTGTCCCACAATACCCCGAGGGCCGGTCTCCCTGTCTGTCAAATGGGGTCCCGCCGTCAGTCCTTAGAGGGCTTCCTGAGGGTCGCCACGCGGTGTCCTGCGCCCCTCTCCCTCCAGCAGCCCCCGGCCTCAGTTTCCCCGGGTGCACCCCTGGAGGGCAGGACGTGGCCCAGGTAGCGCAGCGCGAGGTCGCAGGAGTGGAGCCCGTTTGGGGAGTAGACCAAACAGCGCGAGGTACTGTCCCAGCGACTCGGGAGCCAAGACAGGAGCCGGCAGCCGCCCAGTAAAGCTGCTGGACAAGGACCGGAAATCACGGCCTGAGGGCCAGGACCCGGCTGGGGGCCCGAGGTGCGCCCAGGGTGGGTCCCGCCTTCCTGCCCCCCAAGAGCCAAAGAAGCCTGGAGCCCCTGGGTGGTGTGTTGGGTTTCTGTGCTGCTGGCTGGACCAGGGCCCTCGGGCTGCGGGGCAGGCGCTGACCCGAGTCCACCTCAGCCCTGGAAGAGAATGGGAGACCTTGAGTATTTTCAGTTGCCTGTTAAAATCCACTGTCATTGTATGAAACTCCAGATATTTCATGCTTAGAAGGGCTGGGCACTAGCTGTCCAGAGTGGACACCGTGAATCAAAGCTGTCCACTATAGCTGTCCACTATGGCCTGTCTGGCACCTGGTGCCATGCAAAGGAGCCCCCTTGACTTCGAGGTGCTCCTTCCAACCTTCAGAGCCCCAGAAGTGGCTGGCCTCTCAGAGCCGCTGGCGAGAGTGGACCCAGCCGCCCTGTCCCCTGCCTGTTGTACTTGGCTTGACAGGAAATGGAATTTTGCAACTTCAGATTAAGGGTTTCATGCCAAACTGACAGATTTGTTCAGAAATATCCTAATATGGGCTGGGGTGTGTCTTCTGGAAACATCCCTCCCAGGCTCATGCTTGAGCCAGGGGTTAGAGCTGGAATCCCAACTCTGGCTCTGACGTCACTGTGTAAGACCCAGGTCAAGTGAGGGTGCTTCTGGGAACCTCAGTCTCTTTTACTGTGGGTGAAGCCAAGCTCGCTCCTTTGCCCTCCACGTGGGAAAGCTGATGCTGCTGTTGGCAGATGAACTCCTTGGGGGACTGAGGCACCGAGCCCCTTGCCTCTGTCACTCATTCCTAATGAAAAATTCACTGCTTTATGCTAAACAAATTCTCTTCTCCAAATGCACCAGAAAGAGACTCAAAAGACAAACCGCGGGTGGGAGGACACCGCGGTGCGGGCACAGCAGGGCTCAGGCCCAGAACACGCACAGCTCCCCACCGGCTGGTCAACAGCACCCGGACAGCCAGGCGTGGTGGGCTGCAGGGGTCTCAGCTCAAGGCAGCCTGCGAAGCCCAGCGAGGCCAGCAAGTCTCCCCGTGCAGCCCCTGGCACTCCTTGGTCAGTGGCCGTACAACGAAGGGAAAGGCCCAAGGCTCAGACCGACCCTGCAGACACCGTGTGGCCAGTGTGCCCACCTACCCACCGGTCAGCAGGGCAATGAGGTAAAAGCCCAGTGAGGAGCCCCCACGGAACCGCAGCCTTTAACGTGCGGGCAGCGTCCTGTGGCAGCAGGGCCTGGGGGCAGGTGCCGCTGACCTGGAGCCCCTCCATAGAGGGAATGAGCTTGTCTCCAGTTGCTGACCACAGGCCCTAACGTCCACTCGCTTGTGCTGAGCAGGGGAAACCGCAGCGTGGTGTGCTACAGCTCTCACAACGCCAGAGGGGTGCAGCCACCTCCGCGTCCAGGTCCAGGACAGCCTGCACCCTCCCATGCTCCATCTCTGGACTCCCCTGTCCTGACTCCTATCACTGGGTCCCATGCTGTGCCTGAGCATGAGGCCCTCAAGTCTGGCCACCATGCCCTGGCTGAGGACACTTCAACCACACCACATGTGCCCTTGTCCACTGTGGACGCTGGGTGAGCCTCCCCGGCTGCCGGGGGCTTATGCCATTGACAGAGGGAGGTGGACAGTGGGTGCAGGGCCGGGAGGGACAGTGGAGTGCTCATGGGGAGGGGCTCTTTTTGGGAGTTGGACTCTGGAACCAGATGGACGTGGTGGTGCACGCGTCTAGGAATGCACTAAGAGCCGTGGTGCAGCATTTCTGAGGCTGGTGGTTGATTTCAGGGACATCAACGCTCTTCTTCCTGGGGACGGACCCAGGGCCTGGCACCTCCTGGGCATTGTCCCCCAGCTTCCCTAGTGCCCTCCCGCTAGGAGGAGGGACGCAGACAGTGGGGGCTGGGCTGGGCTCAGTGGGAGCGCACTTGTCCAGCACCCGTGAGGCGCTGGGTTGGCTCCGCACCACATAAATAAACACATAAATAAAGGTGTGGTGTCCGTCGACTACTGAAAACATTTAAAAAAAAAGCCCGCAGACATTGCAGGTGTGTGCGGGCAGCTGGTACTGCGGTAGCGGCCTGGGAGATGGGGCAGGTGGGCGGGGGCTGGTGGGCACGGGGCCGGTGAAGGGCTGGTGGGCAGAGCTTGGGCAAGTCTAACTGATGTTCCACATCCTGTCCCCATGCTGCCCACCGGACACTAAAGCCCAATGGGGCAGTCCTGGTCCCCAAGTCAGCTCAGCATCCCCTGCTTCTCTCCCCGGCTGGGGAGTGGGTACCCTGTGGCCACCACCAGCTCCTCCTGCTCCTCGGGTCTGGGCCTGGGGCACCAGCCGGGACTGCGTCCCTCGCACTCCGGCCTGCCTCCGGGGCTCTGTGGAGCTCTTTCTTCATTCAGCGCCGGGGCTTGAACCAGGGGCCTGGCCTGTGCTGTTGACCCTTCTGCCACTCGGCCGCAGCCCAGCCCCAAGGTCACTTATTCATCTGCGTGTGCGGAGCAGCCGCTAGGTGAGGAGGGGACCCAGCGGGGGGGCCTGGGGGTGACTCTCAGGCCGAGGTGCCATCCGTGCAGATGGGCTGACCCATGGAGGCTCAGCGAGGAAGCCGCGTGGCTGGAGCAGACAAGCGGAGGGAGGTGGGCGGAGGGCGGTGGGCGGCAGAGAGCAGGGGTCGAGCAGGGCCTCCAGCCGTGGGGGATCTGGGCTTTGAACAGAGACACACACTCGGGGTGCCAGAGGCCCCTGGGAGCCTCTGAGGAGAACCGACAGAGCTAGAGACCTGGCCGGAGGGGCCACAGCAGAAATGCAGACACCGAGGTCGAAGCGGATGAAGGGGAAGAAAGATGGAAGGGCAGAAAGAAAGGAAGAGGAAGAGGAGTGACCCAGGCCCGGCCCACCTGGCCGCCCTCCAAATCCCTCAGGGCAACATCCCCATGTTGACATCCTACCCTGAGAGTCCCCACAGGTCACTGTGCCATCTCCAGAATCCTGATATTGTCAAGCACCCTGGCCAGTCAGGCTGCAGGTGGCTGTGTGGCCTCAGGAGGGACCCCGTCTGCAGGGCCAGGACCGTGGGCAAGGTTATAGTGGACTCGGGACAGATTTAAATTTTTATCTTCATTTTTTATTTCTGTACCAGGGATTGAACCCAGGGCATTTAGCCGCTGAGCCCCACCCCAGCCCTACTTGTGTTTTATTTAGAGACTTGGTCTCACTGAGTTGCTTAGTGCCTCGCTTTTGCTGAGGCTGGCTTTGAACTCGCGATCCTCCTGCCTCAGCCTCCTGAGCCGCTGAGGCGTGTGCCACTGTATCTGGCCAAATTTTAAAATTTTTAAAATATATTTAGTTGGGCAGGGTGTGGCTCAGGGGCAGAGCCCTTGCTTTGCCCATGTGAGGCACTGGGTTCGATCCTCAGCACCAATAAAAATAAATAAACAAAATATTGTGTCCATCTATAACTAAAAACTTAAAAAATATACACATATTTATTTGTAGATGGACACAATACTTTTATTTATTTTTTTAAACAAGCTCTCTACAAAGATGTGTCTGCCGAAAACTTAAATGTAAATAAAATTAAAAAAAAAAAAAAGATCAGAGATCAGCGCTGAGACACAACATCTCGGTCGGTACGTGGTGCTGAGGGTCGGACCCGGACGCACGCATGCCAGGCGAGCGCGCTGCCGCTTGAGCCGCATCCCCAGCGCCACAATACTTTTATCTTGTTCACTTATTTTTCTGTGGTGCTGAGCATGGAACCCAGGGCTGGGATGTGGCTCCGCAGAACGGTGCCTCTGGCTTCAACCCCCACCGCCACACACTCACACACAGATGCTGTGCATTTTCACAGACATACTTGGCCATTTTTCAACGTTTTCCTACTATTTTGATGTTCTGGGGAAAATTCATTGAAACTGTTTCAAGAAATCGAAAGTACATAAGAACTGTGCAGAGGGAAGCAGGCTCTTCCGTGTCCAGTGTGGCTCTGCCAGGCAGCAGCCCAGGGGAGGGGCTGGACTCTGCAGCAGGAGCAGTGGGAACCTGGAGGCCACCGGCCTCGGGGGCTGGCCTCCCTGGAAGGCCCCGCGTTGGGGTTAGTGTTTGGTGTTTTGCCGCCCCCTGGTGGCGGTGGGCGTTTACTGCTGGCTGCCTCAAGCCCGGACGCGGCGTGGAAGCCCCAGGATTCACTTAATCCTGAGTAACGAGCACCACACCAGGCGCCTGGTGACCCGCATAACATCCTCCGGGATGTCACTGCCGCTACCCCTACTTACAGGCGAGGAAACAGGCTGCGAGAAGGGAGGGCCTTCCGCAGTCCCTGGGGGGGGGGTGAGTGGCACCTGGTACTCAGGGAGCTACCCCACTGGGTGCTTGTCACCCAGAACTTAGCAGAGCAGCATCCCAGCCCTGGCTGGAAGCCCCTGAGGCCCCTGGGACTGCGGGTGGCCAGCTCCCTGGGTTCCATTGTCACCCCCAGGGTCTCCTGCTGAGTGGCTGGTCCCCTTGTCCTTGGAGAAAGATGCTCCTAGAGGCCTATGAAGGGCCACTCCCTTGAGCCTGAGGCCATGGCTGTCGGGACCGGTCTCCTCCTCGGTGGGCGTTCCTGGGCACCAAGGCCCTTCCCCGCTGAGGGGAGGCGACAGGCAGACAGAGACGGAGAGACGGGGGCTCCTGGCCGCGAGCCTAGGGAGCCCTCTGTGGCCCAGAGTTGTGCTGGCCTTGGCACGGTGGCCTCTGAGCACGCGGAAGCCGAGCCTGCCAGGGTGGTCAGCTCTCCAGCACCCACTGAGGTTCTTCTGGACCTTCACCCCCGGGTGCTGTGGGGCTGGGGAGACCTGCTGAGGCCAGGAAATCGGGCCACCAGGAGCTGGGACAGTGTCATGAATGAGATGACACCTGAACATGCTCCTTTCACCCAGTGACTGGCAGAGGATCCCAGCGGCTGCCCTGAAGAAGGGACCCCGCCTCAGCGCAGCCTGCTCCCGTGGTGTGGGCCTCGGGCCTCGTGCAGGGAGCACCCGGGCAACAACTGTCCCAGGGATCTTGAGCAGAGCTGGCAGAAGGTCGGTGGAGAAGGGGGTGCCAAGACCCTCTGTGAGGGTAGAAATGGCCCCAAACAGGCCCATGCTCTAGACTCTGAGGCCTGTGGACACGTCACCTCCTGTGGCAGACAGGCTCTGAGCTGCAGTGACCTGGTCATCTGGGGCCCAGGGTCCTCATGAGAGGAGGCAGGAGGGCCAGAGTCAGAGAGGGACGTGGAGACGCTCACTGCTGGCTCTGGAGCTGGAGGAGGGGGCACACAGCCCTGCTGGGCCTCAGGAGGGACCAGCCCTGCTGCCCCTGGACTTCCGCCTCCTGCCCTCCAGCCTGCCTTTAGCACGTGGGTTCTGGAGATTCCCGCAGCTGAAGGAGACCTGCCTCCTCAGGCAGAGGCACCGGGGGACAGCGGGGGAGACCATAGAGAAGCCTCGGAGACCCACCCTGGGATGCCAGGGCTGGAACTGCCTGGGGGGGGGGCAGAAAGCCCAGGTGGACAGAATGGCCCAGGTGCAAGGGCAGTAGCCAGCCTTAGTACAGAGCTCCCTGAGCGGGAGCCCAGCCTCCTCCCTCAGGCCTCCTCGGCTGGGGGTCCCTCGCTGTGGGGCGATTCCAGACCCACGTCTGCTGGTGGCTGTCCTTAAATACAGAGTTCTTAAAATAGCCATTGCCAGGCTTCCCAAGCGGGTCCCCGGGCTACCTGGCCGCTCCTAGCATCCCGGGGAGGGGGTTGCAAAACTGTGTCGGGGACACGTGCCTCACACGGGGCTAGGTCACCACTGCGGCACACAGACGAACCCGTCTGGGTCTTCATCCCCAGGAGCACAGAGGGAGAACTGAGGCCGAGCAGTCAGAGGATCCCAAGGGTGCACAGCGGCGGAGCATGATGGGACTGCGGCCAGCATCCATGGCCCTGGCCAGCAGGATCCCGCCATCTCTGGTGAGCCTAGAGTCCCCTGGAGCCTAATTAACGACCCTCCCATCGCCGCGACACCAGGAGGGCCAGGGATTCCGCAGTGCTCAACAAGCATTCAAGTGCTGGAGATGAGATGGTGGCCCCCCCCCCCCCCCGAAGCACCTGCCGCTCCAGGGGACGCGGGGTCCCAGTGCGGGCCTGGCAGGGCTCCCCTGGCACCAAGAAAGACCGCGCAGACACGAGGTTGGCTTTGTGCAGCAGGCGGCCAGCAGGCAGGCTGCTGGGCAGTGTATTTCTCGGTGGACGTCCCAGGCGGCTCCCGGGTGGGGGCAGCGCTCGGCGGCCCTGCAGGGCCAGAGGATCTCACGGGCGGTGGGGCGGGACCCCTGGCCTCCTCAGGGGGAGGCGGAGTGTCCCCAAGAAGGCCCAGGCAAGCACCTGGTCTCCTCGCCCCCAGGGCGTTGGGGCCCATCTTCTCTGAGGCAGAAGAATCAGAAGTAACACGTCCTGTCCCCAGGCTCAGTCCTCGCCCTCGATGGCATAGAGGCCAGCCTCCCATCGTTCGGCCATGGCGTTCTTGTGCCGGGTCACCCGAGTGGCTCCCAGGATCTGCACCAAAAAAGGCAGTCTCCTCAGGGTCCTAACCTCAGCAGGCACCTTCGCACTGCCAGGTCACAGACAAGGCCTAGAACAGGGGGACAGGACCCCCTCTTCTGTCTCAGGCCCCTACTCCGGGTAGCCTGACGGAGGAACCTGCCGACTCCTGCCGAGTTCCTCCCCAGGGAAAAAGTCTGGACTCAGCCCAAGGAGGACGGGATTGCCGTCTGAGATGGCTGCACTTCCACACTCACCCCTCAAGCAGTGCCCCTGCCTGGTGGTGCTAGAGGGACTGAGGCCAGGACGCCCAGAGAAACCCCAGGTCTGAGCCCAGCCCTCCACCTGGTGGGAGAGGTGAAGCCCTGCAGCACCCACCCCCCGCGGACACCACGCCCCCCTCCCCAAGCCGGCTGGGCCCCACCCTGGAGCGGAGGAGGCCGGAGGAGGAGGACCCGCGGGCGGATCCGCGGGATGGGTTGCCACTGTGCCTCGACTCACCTCTGAGTTGACCCGATCCGCGGGGTTGATGCCTGCATACTGCGGAGAGAGGCCAGTCAGCCCGGGTCCTTCCCCGCGCCCCTCCCAGGAGCCGGCCTGAAGGCCTCCCACACCCCTCCCTCGAACTCACCCCACCGCCCAGACCCAAGTTGTCACCCCACCGCCCCCTCACGCCACCCTCAGCGCAGCCTCCCAGTCCCCCAAGCTGGGGCTCCCCCGGGAGCAGGCATTGCTGGGAGGCGGGAGGATCACCCTCGCCCGCCTGGCCTGGGGTCAGGTCCCACTCACCCAGAGCTCCTTCTTTATCTGCCCAGCCGCTTCCTCTGCAGGGGCTTCTGCCTTCCACAGCAGGCCGGAGTGCAGGTGGATGGGGGTGAACACGGGTGACTCCGACACAGAGTAGCTGCCCACGATGCCTGGGGACGGGGAGCAGGAGAAAGAAGGGGCATCAGTGGGCAGACCCACCGTCGGACCTCAGCTCTTGGAGACATAGGGTCTCTGGCTGAGGGCCTGGAACAACCAACAGCTGACAGATGGACAGACAGCAGCAACCGATCATGACAGATGGACAAGAATAACCAGTCAGGCGATTCTGGGTGGACAGTTGGACTCAGCAATCAAGGCAAAGGGCATCCAGCGACAGGGATGTACCCTATTGACCAGGAAGAACCACCAAGATGATAGACACTTGCAAACCCCTATGCGCCTCATAACAAATCATCTAGATCCATCAGGTGGGAACCCTAAGGCAAACTTAACATTTCTCAAAAATCTGCCCTGAAGCTGCCAAGTGGGGGAAGCGGGAGAATGAAATATTTCCCCTCCCCGAGAGCCTTCAACTCTGCCTCCATTTTTGTTCCAAGGCCCTAGGTCCTGAGTGAAGCAGAGACTCCACAGTCCCCTTCTCACCTGATGCCCGCGAGGAGCTCCTGGAGTCTGGCTCAGGGTCCTCCTCTGGTGGCGGAGAGAAGACCTCTGGGAAGAGAGCACTCCTCCTCTCCTCTGCCACCTCACGCTCCCGGCGCAGGACACTCTCCACCTCCCTCTCCAGCAGATCCGATGAAAGGGACTTCTGCAACCTCCACACTGGGGCCCCAGCCGCCTCCCAGCCCCGGGCCTGGGGAGCCTCAGCCTGCTGAGGGACATCTGGGACCCTGAACCGCAGAGGACGCAGGCGGAAGTGATCCCACCGAACAAGGCCCTCGCTGGCCAGCAGGGGTCCCCGGAGGGGCGGGGCAGACTCCTGCTTGGTGCTCAGGGGCTTTCCAGAGGATTCTGGGAGCTGCCTCTGAGACCCCAGGGCCTTGGGAGAGGCCACAGCCCTGACCCCCTCTGCGGAGAGACCACTGGGCTTGCTGGGTGATCCGAAGGCCGAGACTTGCCGCTGGGGGCTCTGGGCGTCCAGGTAGGGCTGGTAGGCCTCGGGTGAGATGCGCTTCACTCTCCTCGAGGCTGGGGCTGGGTCAGCCGCCCGGGCGTCCCGAGTGGGACCAAGGATGGAGTCGGAGCTCATGCTTCTCCTGAGTCCAGGCTGGGGGTGCTCAGAGGCCCAGTCGGGCGTGGATGCCCGTGCCGCCTGCAGGCCCTCCCGCCGGTGGTCCTCCTCGCGCTGCGTCTCCTGAACCATGTCCCGCTGCACATACAGTGACGGACGCCCCCGGTCCCACCGAGGGGCCTCGGCCAGGCTCACCTTGGTCAGCACTGGCCTCGTGGGGATCTCCACCAGCTCCTGGTCGCCAGCTGCCCGACGCAGCCCCCTCTGCTCCCGCAGGTCAGCCTCGCGCTCCTGGGCGAGTCGGATCTCCCGCTCGATGGGCGTTTCCTTGGGGGCCTCTGGGGACTCCACCCGGGACCGGGAGCCAGGGTCCTGGACAGCTGGGATGCCGGACCCCAAAGGCAAACCACGGCCCTTCTTCTCCCTGAACAGCTCCCGCACCTGGGACTCCCTGGGGACCACACTCCCATGGGCCAGGGGAGGCTTGCCTGGGGCCTGGAGAGCTGGGCTGGCCCCTGGTGGGGCACATGGGGGGGCAGCCCTGGTGGGGGGCCTGGGGGGCGCCATCGTCGCGTGTGCCTGCTCCAGGTGGATGAACTGCCGTCTTGCTGCCAGGAAGTCTATCTGCTCCCTGTCAATCCTGTTCTCCTCCAGGGGGGTGGGCCGAAGGTGGCCCAGGGGCCTGGGGTCCCCGTGGTCAGAGGTGCCGCAGACTGTGGCCCCGGTGCCACCCTTCCTGACTGCCTGGCCCTGGATGACGGCCCAGCGCTCCTGCTCCAGGTCCTGCTGCTGCCTGGGGAGCACACTGCTGGCACCCAGGTGGTGACTCTGCATGTCCCCGTCCTTGTCATCCTCCAGGCAGACTGGTCTCAGGGACCACTGGCCAGGGAAGGCCTGCCCGCTGCGGGTCGCCCCGGTCTTCACCAGGTCCATCTGGGCCTTATGGTCAGGGGACCGGGCCTGTGGCCTGTCCTGGTTCCAGCCAGCCTCCTCGGGCCCCACGCCCACCAGCTCGATGGTGTAGCTGGTGTCTCCGTCCAGCGCTAGGCCAGTGATGCGTGCCGAGTGCGGGATGCTGAAGATGGGGTACCTGGTCACCCGGTCCATCTTCTGGGGTGTCCTGGCTTGACTTTCCTCCCGTGGAGTGGAGACCTCTGGACCCACTGAGGGAGAAAGGAATGTCAGCCCCCAGTCAGAGCCCCCAGGCCAGAGCCCCCCAGGTCAGATTTCCCCAGGTCACAGCCCCCCAGGTCAGAGCCCCCAGGCCAGAGCCCCCCAGGTCAGATTTTCCCAGGTCAGAGCCCCCCAGGTCAGAGCCCCCCAGGTCAGAGCCCCCAGGCCAGAGCCCCCCAGGTCAGAGCCCCCAGGTCACAGTTCCCCAGGTCAGAGCCCCAGGTCAGATTTCCCCAGGTCACAGCCCCCCAGGTCAGATTTCCCCAGGTCACAGCCCCCCAGGTCAGATTTCCCCAGGTCACAGCCCCCCAGGTCAGATTTCCCCAGGTCAGAGCCCCCCAGGTCAGAGCCCCCCAGGTCAGATTTCCCCAGGTCACAGCCGCCCCAGGTCAGAGCCCCCCAGGGCAAAGTCCAGCCAAGGCCTGTTAGTGGTGGAGGCACAGGCAAGTGGCCCAGCAGAGGCAGCAGAGTGTCCCACCCTCTGACTCAGCCCAGCCAGTCTCAGTGTCCCACTGCTGGTGTCTGACTGGCTCAGGGGAGCTGAGTGCTCATCAGGGACAATGCCATGAAGTCTGGGGACCGGCCATTCAGGTGGGAGAGCGGACCCTCTTCCCCTCAGCCTCCTTGACTGGCTTGAGAGTGACTCCAACAGGGAATTCCTGGGTCCAGCCATGCCCCAATCTCTGCACATCCCCCACTGACCCCACAGCTGCCACAGTATTTGACGTCCCCTGCACCCTCATCCCTCGAGGGCCCACACACAGCCCCCAGCGCCCACCTGCCCCTCTGCTCATTCTGTGGCCTTGGGGTCTCTCTTTGCTCCACCCTGAGCCACACCCCGGCCCTTTTCATTTCACTTTGAGACAGGATCTTGCTAAACTACCCAGACTGGCCTTGGACTTGGGACCCTCCTGCCCCGCCTCCCCAGATGCAGTGTCTTCAGCAGCATTCACACGTGGCCCCAGCTGGCCTGTCCTCGCTGAGGGAGGTCCAGGGGGACCCTGAGGCCCTGAGAGGGACGCAGCTCCGGGATGCAGGCTCCCACACGCCCATCCCCTGCGTCACCAGCAGGGCCCCCGTCTTGGTGCCATGAAGCCAGGATGGGCTGGGGACACTGTGGACCCTGTGTCTGGGTGGAGCCACACAGCCTCTGGTTGACACCCTCACCCAGTGTCCTCAAGGTCATGGCTCTGTCCTCACTGTGTGTCTCCTGGCACCCAGGGTCACCATCTGGCCTCAGTGCGAACCCCAGCCTCGGCCCACAGCCCTCTCTGCCCCAGGGCCCTGGTTTCTTTCCTCTGCACCTTCCTTTGCGGTGGCCCCCAGGATGCTTCCCTGAGGGCCCAAAATGTCCCTCCCTGGGAGCCATCATCTGAGTGGCCCCTGCAAGCCAGGCTGTCTTCATGGTGGAGCAGAGGAGGCCTCACCAGGGGTGTGCTGCGCCTGTGTCCCAGGCCCCATGGCCTGCAGCACCAGGTCCCCAGGGCCGCTGCTGCCGTGGTGAGTGGCTCCCGGGACCCCGCAGACCCAGCCTGGATGGCCTCTGTGCCCCCAGCAAGGCTGCCTCCTGGGCTGAAGGGGCATGGTCCCCTGAGGCCTTGTGCTGTCCCACCACAGTCCCCAGGCCCCCGACCCCTGGGCCGGGTGACACGGCTCCTGTCCCTGCCCTGGGCAGGGCTACGCTTGCTGCAGGAGTGTAGGCCAATGAGTGGCAGCTGTTTACGTGGCAAGATTTATAACCCACCTGGGACATCAGCTCTGGGGACAGGGAGCCACCCCCCACGCTGAGTGTGGCTTCCCCTCTGGTGGGGCAGGGTTGGGGTGCTGGCCTCCTGACTCACTGAGGCCAGGGGGTGGGGTCCAGGGTCTGGGGTTCAAGGCTGCTGGGCCCACCCAGCTGTGGCCCCGGTGGCTGCTGTGACCCCTGCCTCAGTGCCACCCCTGGACGCCCCTGGAGGGCTGCTGGGCAGGTGCTCACATTCCAGCAATCCCCCTGCTCGAACCCTTGGCCTGTCCTGCAGAGCCCAAGCCTGGGGAGGGAGAGCTTGGGGGGGGGTCCTGGGGAGGGGGAGCCTGGGGAGGGGGAGCCTGGGGAGGAGGAGCCTGGGGAGGGTCCTGGGGAGGGGGAGCCTGGGGAGGGGGTCCTGGGGAGGGAGAGCCTGGGGGGGGAAGCCTGGGGGGTCCTGGGGAGGGAGAGCCTGGAGGATTCCTGGGGAGGGGGCCTGGGAGGGAGAGCCTGGGGAGAGGCAACCTGGGGAGGGAGAGCCTGGGGGGGAAGCCTGGGGGGGAAGCCTGGGGGGTCCTGGGGAGGGAGAGCCTGGGGGGTTCCTGGGGAGGGGGGCCTGGGGAGGGAGAGCCTGGGGAGGGGCAACCTGGGGAGGGAGAGCCTGGGGGGGAAGCCTGGGGGGTCCTGGGGAGGGAGAGCCTGGGGGGTTCCTGGGGAGGGAGAGCCTGGGGGGGTCCTGGGGAGGGAGAGCCTGGGGAGGGCTTGGGAGGGGTCCTGGGGAGGGAGAGCCTGGGGGGGGGTTCCTGGGGAGGGAGAGCCTGGGGGGGTCCTGGGGAGGGAGAACCTGGGGGAGGGCTTGGGGAGGGGGTCCTGGGGAGGGAGAGCCTGGGGGGGTCCTGGGGAGGGAGAGCCTGGGGGAGGGCTTGGGGAGGGGGGGCCTAGGGAAGGGGGGGAGCCTGGGGAGGGGCCGGGGGAGCCCAGAGAGGAGTGGCCTCAGCCCCCAGCCCCCGTGTCCTCAGTCTTGTTTGTTCCTCACAGAGCCCTTGGAAGGGGAGACATGGTGTCTTGGTTTCCACCGGAGGGGACGGGGACAGAAGCCCAGAGAGGGGAAGCCGCTGCCCCAAAGTCGGACCCCAGCGACAGGGTCCAGGGCTCAGAGCCCGGGCGGCTCCCCACGCTGCCCTGCCGACAAGCCTCCTGCGGGAAGCACAGGTCCCTGCTCCAGCCCTGCCCGCTCTCTGCTGCCAGCTGAACCCGCTTTATGGCCCCGGGCTGCACCTGCTCCTCCACAGCAGCTGCCCTCCTGCCCAGGGCAAAGGCTCCCCAGGAGCCCACAGGTCACCTGAAGGGAGGGCCCCTGGAATTCCTGTCCCCTCCCTTAGGGGCTAGTGTCATCAGGGGCTCCTGGCCCGGCCCTCCCCAGCCCGAGGAATTCCAGCCAAGCCCCACCCACCCGTCCCTTGACCTGGGCCAGGCCCTGCCAGATGGAATAGCCCAGGAACTCAGGCCAAGCCTGCTCCCACCTGGGCCCAGCCGGCCCCTCCCTGTATCCTCATCTGGACCTGGACGCAGGAGGGTCCAGAATGCCCAGGGCCAGTGGGGGCTTGAGGGTTTCTGGCCAGGGCTTGTCTGTTGGCCAGCTTCCTCCCTGTCACGGGTTCAGATCCTGGGATTCTGGGATCCCAAAGCCCCATCGGAATCAGGGCACAGACTTCAGGCCTCAGAGTGGGCCCCGGGCGGTCTGCAGGAGGGGAGGCCCCAGCCAGCCCCACACCGGCTGGGCCAGGGTGCTCACAGGGAAGCTGACTACAGTGGACACATGCCCCCTCAATCAGAACCCTCCCCGCCAGGCCCGCCCCAGGCAGGGCCCCAGCCTCACCTGTCAGCCCAGCCACTTTCCAGCCCAAGCTGGGGCCGTCCACTCAGAGCAGGAGGCCTCAGCTCGGCCCTCTGCCAGGTTGCCAGGCACAGAGGCCCCACCTAGGGAAGCAGGTGCACCCCTCCCAGCCCCGCCTGGGCCCGGGAAGCAAAGTCCAGAGGAGGAGGGAGAAAGACGACACCCGGGCTGGGCTGAGGGCGGGCATCGTGCCCACTGCAACTGCCCCTTTGGCCAGGGGCCTCCAGCCACTGAGCTGCTGCTGCCCAGGTCCCCTGCCCACCGCACTCTGCTGAGGGCCATCCCTGTGCCTGGGGCATGCAGCTGCGCTGGCCCCTCTGCCAGCTCCAGCTGTGGGTGGAGAGTGAGAGACTCACCCAGCCCCTGTCCTGGGGCCACGCCCCAGATGGGACCTTGGCTCTCCTCTCCTCCAGGAAGTGGGCAAGGCACACTGCTACTCTCCCAGGACTGCTGGGACAGACCCTGTGGTCCTGTCCACACAAAGCACGGGACGAGGGCTTGAGGCCCCTCTGCCAACAGGGCACATTGAGGCCGGATGCTCCGTCGGAGCCAGAGAACCCACGGGGCCTCAGGTAGCCCGGATCACAGGGGTAGGCTGACCTCTTCGCCCAGCGCTGTCTACGGGCTGGGGCACAGTGCAGAGGGCTCGGGCTTCAGGACTGTAGGCTGGGGCTCTGTCCTGAGCAGCCCTAAGGCTGGCCATGGCCCCCCTGAATCTCATCTCTCATCTCATCATCTCTCCTTCCAGTACCCCTGGCTCTACATCTTGGGGGACTTAAAGTAGATGTGCTGGAGGGCCCAGCACAGCCCAGGTGGCTGCCCGGAGGTCCAACCAGGGTGCAGGCCTCGCCTGGCCCCCCAGCTCACACAGGGCCTTTCCTCCCTGTTGGGCAGATTAGGACCTAGAGGCCCAGAGTGTCCCTCCTGTCCAAGGGCGAGCGGATCTGAACCCGGCACCCCATCTTAGGTATTCCTCTCCATAGCACACGCCCGGGGAAACTGAGGCCTCAGGGGGTAAAGACTGGACACTCAGGGTGCTGGGCACAGTGGACAGCAGACTCCCCGCCTCCTGCTTGCAGATCAGGCATGGCCTCTCCCTGGGATTCTAAAGCCCTGTTACAGGTGGGGAAACAAAGGCCCAGAAACTTCTCGAAACTCATGGTGAGATGCACCGGGGTCAGCATGGGAACCTGACTGGCATGAAGACCCCTGTAGCACCCCCTGCTGCTGCTGTGTCCCCAGGGACCAGGGTGTCTGTGGGGACCCCCATCTCTGAGGGCCACGAGTCCAGCCAGGGGACAGGGCAGGGTGGATGTGGGACTCAAGGGCCCCCCTGGAAACAGGAACAAGTCTGGCCACCCAGGAGCCGCCCCTGACCTCCAGGTCTTACCTGCCCAGGTGCTGCAGACAGGTGTGCAGAGGCTGGGACCACCACCTCCCACCAAGATGGCCAGGGAAGCCCGGGGTGAGCGGGACAGCGAGGGCAGCAGCTCACCCTGGCCCTGTGCAGCTCCTTTTATGGCTCCCGCCGGGCAGGGCCCCACCCTGGGCTGGCCGCACCCTCGCGCCCGCGAAACCCAAGAACTCCAGGAACTGGGCTGTTCGCACTGTTTATTTGCTTCTCTGGGAAAGTCGAGAACATCGGGGCCTCATCACACATCAGAAGCAGAGGGCAGCAAGGGCACTTGAGCGGAGGCTCGCGGCTCGAGGGGCTCGGGCAGATTCGAGGGAGGAAGAGAGGGTCCCACGGCCACTGCCCAGGCCACCCCCAGAGACAACCCCTCCTCCCAGCTGCCGGAGGGGCTCCATGCAGCCAGGACCCAAGCTCCATCCAGCCTGGTCCCTGCAGTCACCCTGTAGCAGCTGACCGCTGGCCAAGAGAAGACCCAAGTGCGGGCCCCGGGCTGGAGGCCTGGTCGCCAAAGCCAGCACTCAAGGAGAGGGCTCTGTGAGAGTGGGCACGAGTGTGCCTCCGGGGCCTAGCAGGGCCGTCCCCAGGCAGGGAGCCCCTGCCACATCCAGTGAGGGCGGTGAGCAGGCTCACCCTGGGCTGGGTGGCCCACCGGGTCTCCGGCTCCAGCCAGGGAGACCTCCCGGCCCAGAAGTGCTCCAAGCCCAGCAGAGCTGGCAGGTGGGGCGGACTTCTTGGGTATGGTTAGGGGAACCCAAGACCCTGGTCCAAGCAGGCTGGACAGGAGGCCAGGAGCGGCCACTGGGGTCCCCAAATTAGCACCAGGAGGAAGGAGGTCCCAGTGGGGGGACAGAAACTCAGGACAAGAGCAGCTCATGTGGCCCTTGTGCAGGGGGCAGCTCCTAGACCCCAGCCTTCCCTGTCTAGGAGACAGCTCAGGGGTTACAGACCCCTCCCAATGGGGCACATCCCCCCAGTCCTCGCCCTAAGTGCCATCGTCCACTGGCTGGGCCTGTGGGGGTACATGTCAGGCTGAGGATGTCCAGAGAAGCCCGTGCTCCATTCTAAGACCTCAAGCCCCATAAGAAGCGTGGCCTCACCCAACTGCCCAGGGATGGGGGCCAGCGCCTTTGGCAGGGCCCCTTAGAGTCCCACTACCAGGCCCCGGGACCCCTCGGCTCCTGGTCCCCTCAGAAACTTGTGGGAGGTGGCAGGAAGGCACAGGCGGCTGGCCACAGGCCACACCAACCAGGACCCTGTGGGCGCGAGCCACATCAAGAAGCTGCCGCAGTCTGGGGTCCTCGCTGGGGAGAGCAGGCCAGCCCGTTTCTCTGCACCAGTGCACGGCTCGGGGTCCAGGCTGAGGGCGGGGTGTGCCGGCAGGCGGGGCCCCGTCCCCCCTTCAGTGAAAGAAAACTCAAGGGACGTGAAGCAACACGCAGGTCCTGGGCCCGTGAGGTTTGGGTGCAGGGTGGGCAGGTGCCAGGAGGGGCCGGGCTGGCGGGAGTCTGGTGTGGAGGGTGGGGCCGGGGTCTGGGGGCCGGGCCGGCTCACATGATAGAGCAGCATTTGCAGCGCTGCTTCTTCACGTCCAGGTCCTGGGGGTCGCTGGTGGTGGCCTCGGGCCCCACCTGGTCCTCCTCCCTGGAGCCTGCGGCGCCAGGGGGCTCTGCTGCGCTGCCATTGGGCGGGGCGGGCTCCTTGGTCTCTGCCGCATCCTCGATGACCACCAGCTCGGCCGTGATGGCGTCCTGCAGACCCAGCACCTTCTTGGTCTCAGCCTCATCCTCCACATTCTGGTAGCCCATGAAGATCATGGTGACCGGGGGCTCCTGGCCGGGCTGGGTGCCCGAGGTGGCCTCGCCAGGCTGAGCCTGCACACCAGGGATCTCGCGCCGGGCGGGCGTGGACCGGATTGCCTCCACAGGCCCCCCGGCCTCAGCTGCCCCAGCTGTGGACCCCGCCTCGCTCAGAGCGGCCTCGTCTGCTTTGTGGAGGAGCTCGTCCACCTCGGAGGAGCTCAGTGGGTGGACGCCGTCCTCGGCGGTGCCGTCCAGGGCGTGGACAACTGCACAAGAAGAGACAGAGGTGTGAGTGGGCTCCCAACAGGAAGCAGATTCCCTGACGGACAGCTAGAGCCCTCAGGCTGTGGACGCAGCCAGCGGGTGCACAGAGGAAAATCCACAGCTGCCTCTGAGGCAGCCTGGGAGACAGGGATGGGGCGTCACCATCTTGCATTTTGAAACTGTCCCATATTCTTCAGCCAGCCAGCTCCTGTGCAGTCACCTGGCAAAGCAGGTGACACAGTTTGGACCTGGAACGTCCCCCAAAGGCTCCTGTGCTGAGGGCTTGGTCCCCAGTGAGCAGTGTGCAGAGGGGGGGTCTCCAGGAAGAGGGTGGACCTGCGGGCTCTCCCCGTCACTGGGGTGATCCCCGGAAGGGCCCACAGCTGAAGGGCTCATGGGAGGTGGTGGAAGTTGGAGGGAGGGAGTCCTTGGTCTGTACCCGTCCCCTTCCCTCTCTCCCCCTCTGCCTCACCTCAGCCCAGAGCCATGGAGCTGCTGACCAGGGGCTGAAACCCCTGAACCATGAGCCAAAATAAATATCTCCTCCTCTGAGCTGTTTTTCTCCGGTAAACTGTCACAGCAGCAGAAGCCAACACAGTAGGCCGGGGGTTTTTCTTTCCATCGTAAAGATGGCAAGAACGAGAATTTAAACAGGGAAGCATCTAGCCCCGTCACTCTGGCAGCCAGGGCTAGACCCCGTTGCTTGTGGCAGTCTGGTCCTGGTGTGCAGGGTCCACATCCTGGGGGCAGGAGGTGAGAGCAGCAGGGATTCCGGACTCTCCGGTCTCTGGGTGCCCTGGGCGGGCCCTGAGTGAGCCGTCGGCCATTCAGTCTTCCCTCCCATAGGTGCCTGGACGGCCGTCCGGTCTCGGGATCTGACGGTCCACACCTCCACCCTTTCCCAACTGTGCTGTGCTCCCTGAGGACCAGGCTTCAGCCCTAGAAGGGCCCCTGGCCGTGGGCGACACCCGCCGCAGACCAGAGACCTGCACCCCCTCCTAGGAACCAGCTAGCTGCCCAGGGTGGCACCTCGTCCTGACCCAGGGCGGGGGTCCTGCACCCGGATGCCAGGAAAGTCTGGGAGGGGTCCCTGCTCCCAGGACAGAGGGTGGGGTGCACACTGCCCTGAGGCAGGATGTGAACCCCAGGCTGCCACGAAACGGCTCAACTTCCATCCCCAGCAGGCAGAGTCCAGTGTGGCAGGTCTGGGGTCCCCGGGGTGGGGCAGGGACGGGGGCAGGCCACCTGGAGCTGGGTGGGGTGGGCAGGTGGGGGTGCCACGTGCCCCTTCTCACCCAGGAGCGCCTGCCCCAGGCCACGGGACCACAGCTGGGGCTGAACCAGGCCTGCACTCACCTGACCCAGCTGGGCTGGCATCAGAGACGCCCCGAGTCACAGCTGCCTCCCAGCACCCAAGGCCTTGGCACCAGAGCCTTGCCAGGCACTGACACCACTCGGGCAGCCCCTGTGGCTCTCGTGACAAGAGCAGCACTGATGAGGCTGAGGCACATGGAGCCTCCCCCCACCAGCGGGGAGCACACGGCACTGGGGCCTGGAGGCCAGAAGTCCCCACCAGCCAGCCCTCCTGAGCCCAGACAGGAAATGGACACCCGTGCCACACATGGCCTAGCCACCTGCAGGGTGCTCTCCCTTGGCCAGGGCAGGAGCCAGGGGCACTGCAGCATATCCCACACTGGGGGCCACCATCAGGAGCCTGTGACCCAGCTGCCGCGTGGAGGGACCTGAGGACCTGTGCTCAGTGATAGCCAGACACACCGGCCACATTCTGTGACCAGTGACAGACTGGACCTGGGGTGCAGGGCTGGAGGGACGGGGGCTGCTTGAGGGGCTGGGCGTCCCTGTGGGGGATGGAGTGCTCCCCGTGAACTATCGACCCGAGGCGTCTCTCTTCCAAGCTGACATTCCGTGATATGGGATCAGAGGGACGAAGGCTTTCCGGGCCCCCTCCTCCTGGGTCCCTGCCTCCTGGTGGCATCCCCGGCACCTGGTCCCTCCTGGCCCCTGGGTCAGGCACCCTGGGTTGATGCATGACTGTGTTTTGTGGTGCTGGGGATGGAACGAGGCCCTCCTGCCTGCTGGGCCAGCACTGACCACTGGACACCACCCCCCATAAGGCACCTGAGAACCAAATCAGATTTCAGCCCCTCCCTGCCACACCTGGGGCTCCTGTAGTCCCTCTGGCCCAGTCCCTCGGCCCTCCTCAGGCCTCTGCCCACACTGAGGCCCTGCTGGGCACTCCTTCCCACTCACTCCCGAGAAGCCCCCACCAGCCCCAGCTGGAGACTCCCGAGGCCCCTGTACATCCCTGGGTCTTCCAGGAGTTTTGTCACAATAAGATCACTTAAAGGGCAACCAGGCAGGTGGCGCAGGCCTGTCCTCCCAGCTGCTCAGGAGGCCGAGGGAAGAGGGCACAGACTCAAAGCCAGCCTGGTCAACATACTAAGGCCCTGCCTCATACCGAAAGGGAAAGGGCTCGGGTATAGATCTGTGGCAGAGCAGCCCTGGGTTCAATCCCCAGAACTGCAAAATAAACACATGAATCAGTCAATTAAAATGAATACGTGAAGCAGGGCACAGAGCGCACACCTATAATAATCCCAGAGGCTCTGGAGGCTGAGGCCGGAGGATTGCAAGTTTGAGACCAGCCTCAACAACTTAGGGAAACCCCTGTCTCAAAATTAAAAAGGTGGGGCTGGGATGTGGTTCTATGGTACAGCACCCCTGGATTCAATCCCTAGTACCAAAAATATTTTTAAATAAATAAGTGAGCAGCGAATGGGCTCTGGAGGGGCTGGGCCGCACCCCCAGAGCTTGGAAGGGGACTCTCCTGAGGGCTCCTACTCCAGCCGCATGTCTGCAACAGGGTCCGGCCACAGCATTTTCTGAGGGAATGACCGTGTGGGCCACAGCCAGGGCCCAGGACCTCAAACCCGTGGCAGGGGTGGGGGCACTGGGCCCTGCTCCGTGGGCCTGGCTGTGCTGAGCCCTGCCGGGGCCTGCACCCGGCTCTGGCTGGAGGCCGGCAGGCGGGGGCGTACCTTTCGTCTCGTCCTCGTAGACCTTGATGCCCTGAGGAAGCGGCTCCCGGGGGAGCAGTGTGGTGCTGGACAGCACCCGGGTCTCCCCTGTCACCTTGTCCTTCTCCACAGTGATCTCAACTGAGTACATGGCTGCCACGAGAGGCACGGGTTATGCCGATCCCGCCCTCCCTCGTGCCCTGGGGGCAGCCGCCAAGCCAAGGGGGGGGCAGCGCAGAGCCAAGCAGAGACGGGTGCCGGGTGCCGTGTGCCGTGCGGACCTGGCCTCCCCCGCTCCACAGCCTCCCGGGCCTCCCAGTGCCCGGGGCTTGGGCCCGAGTTCCTCTGCTGGGCCTTGGAGGCCCATCCTGCCTTCAGCCCCACGGCCCTGGTCCTCCCCTCTGCACCTGGAGCCCTGCTGGGCACCAAGCTCATCTCCACATCCAGGCTCCACCCCCTCCGGGGGAGCGCAGTGGGTGGGAGAGGCCCAGCAGCCCAGCCCCCAGCACAGCCTGACCTCTGTCCACCCAGACCCTCTGCACATCTTGCTTCCTCGACCAACTGGGCTGACTGCAGTGTGACGCTGCAGGACGTCAGAACTCGAAGCTGTGGCTCTGCAGCCAGCCTCTCACTGCTGCTCTGTGAAGCCGTGGAGAGGAGGGTCCTCGAAGCAGCTGCCCCTGGACAGACCTCAGCCCCAGCCCCCAACCTGCCCAGGCAGGAAGGAAAGGTGCCCAGTGCTGGAGCCATGGAGCAGCGCCTGCAGACCTCACCTGCAGGGACGCCAGAGCCAAGGTCCAGGGCCTCTCGAGCCTGCGGTCCCTCAGCCTGGCTCACCTGGGGTACCCCCAAAGCCCTCAGCCCTCATGGTCATCTGGGTCTCCTCCTGCCACCTGGCCTCTGGTGCTCAGGCCCAGCCCCGTCCTGGGCTCCGCTCTGCTCCAGGGGCCTCATCCAGGCCCAGCTCTGATCCCCAGGAGGACCTGGCCCTCAGCTCCCTCACCCCCAGAGCCCAGGCCCCACTCACCTGCCCTGCATCTGCCCCTGGGCTTCCACCCAGCCAGGGCGGCTCTGTCCTTCTGGGCCTCTCCCCTCTCACCCCACTGCAGGCTCCTGGCCCAGTGGGGCTCCAGCCTCCCACATCCTACCTCCTCCACAGTCGTCCCACCGTCCACCCTGGACTTGAAGCCACCCCTGCCCTGGTCCTCAGCCTTCCCCGGCCGAGTCCTCCCAGTGCCCTGTGAGTCTATGTTCTTGGCTCTGTGTTCTTAAATTGTAGAGTGAGTTGCCCCCACTCTGTGTCCCTCCTGCCTGGCATACAGCAGGTACTGAATAATGCCGAACGAGTGACTGTTATTTAATCTCTTGTCCTTGAGTGGCCTAACATCCCTGTCCCTGGACAGCGACTTCCAAGGCCACCCACACTGTTGGGCAGGTTATACACTGCACAAAGACAAGGGCCAAAGGAAAAAGTGGGGGGTACCTCACCTGGGTGCCACAGGGCTGGTCTAACTGGCACAGGCCCTAAAAGCACCCTGCACTCTGAAATGCTCCCCTTGGCCTCCTGCCACCATGTAGGAGAACTTCAGCCTCCCTGAGACCCCCTCTCTCTCAGGGCACTGTCACACCCTAGTCCCCCTCATAGGTCTTCACTTCTCTTCCCAACTCAACAACTTCTCTGTGTTTTCTCAGGACTTGTCACTGTCTAGTCCTGTGTGGGACCAGGCCGGCCCTGGGTGCAAGGCCCTGGGTGCTCAGTCCCCTTCTGGCTGGCAGATGGAGCATGGCTCCCCGTGTCTAACCAAACAGGACTGAGCCTAACCCGGGCCCCGGGCTGCCTCCAGGATGAGGTGCCCTCTCTCACACGGTCCTGCTGCCTGAGGCCCCAGAGGCCAGTGGGATTTGCAGCCAGTGTCCTCAGCCGTGGAGCGGGTGCAGGCCTGTGCCCCCCCACCCCCACCCCAGGGGCCACCTTGAGGTTAAGAGGTACAGAAGCCAGGGCACTGGGTTAAAGTCGCCATGCGCGGGGCCTGCCTTCCTGGGGAAGCCTGGCTGGTGTGTGGCCCAGGGCCGAAGCAGAGGATGCCGGAGGCCCACCCCCAGCCCAGAGCCTCAGCCTCAGTCCACACACCACCCCCGTGACCACTGCCCACTTCCGACCTTGCCAGGGCAGGTCTGGGTCACCCCTACCCCACCAGGCCCCAAGGACTGAGCTGTGGTCTGGTCGGCGGCAGGACACAAGGCCGGAGCCTGGGTACCACCCACCTGCCTTCACCATGGGGGAGCCTCCGATGGTCCGCACAGGGGTGTTGGACACCTGTTTCTCGGCTGGGCAGGCAGGGTGGAGAAAGGGCGGAGAGAGAAGGTCACACAGCCCTCCACAGGCTCAACTCACCGCAGGTACATGCACCCAATACCTGGGACCCTTCCATGCACTGGGCCCCCAATACCTGGGCCCCTTCCATGCACCTGGACCCTGATGCACACAGAGCCCCCCCAAAGGAAATGCCAGGTTGGGTTCTCACACCTCGGCTCAAACGACTTTCACAACGTCCCGAGAGGCTGCACGGATTTACTTTAATTATTAATTCTACAGTCGGTCAAGGAGACCCTCTTCTCACGAATAATCAATTAACGCACCACAAATCAGGCCTGAGATAGGTGGGCTGCCCCGGCCACAGGGGGGGGGGGGTCTGCCCTGTGCTTTGCAGGGAGACAGGCCCACTTAAAACAGGCTTAAAAACGGGACTGGTGTTTCACAACTCACCGAGCTTGGACTTACTGAACGTAATGCACTATCATGCTGACATCTAGACTATGTCCCGCGTCATGGCAGGTGAGTGGCCCACGCCTGTCATCCAGCGGCCACCACGTGGCAGGAACGCTCGGCTGGACGGCCCCAGCAAGCAGGGACCCACCTGCCACGGCCGGGTCTCAGTCCCGCGGCGGCCTTGGTCTCTAGGGCAGGATTTCTGCCCCACGTTACAGACCCAAGAACAGGCCGACCCGCCCGCAGAGCCGTCGCTGGGCCCCTCCCGCGGCCGTGGTGAAACCGAGCAGAGACCCGGCAGGCAGAGCGCGCCGCCCCCCGCCCGCCGCCAGGGGGCGCGCGGGCCCCGCGCCTACCTTTGGGCGTGCCCGGCGGGGTCTGCAAGAAAGAGGCAGAGGGTCAGCCAGCGCCCGCGCGGCGGTCCGCCACCCGCTGCGCCTGTTTCCCGTCCCGTCTCTCCCGGCCGTCACACCCCCTGGCGTTGGGGCCGGAAATGTGGGAAGTGGGGGTGTCACCCCGCCCAGGCCTTCTGGTCCCCCACCACTCCAGGGCTCCACTCCCGACCAGTTCTGTGGTGGTCTTCCCTGCCCAGCGGCCGTCTTCTGGCTGCTCCTTAAGCCTCACCTGAAAGGCTGCTCATCTCTCCCCACAGGGGCTCCGGGGTCTCTGGCCCTCCCACCAAGCCCCCTCTCTCAAGTGGGCAGGGGCCGGCTCCCGGTCTCCAGGAGGAGGAGCAGGAGCTTTGGGCATGCTCACTGCCCCTGAAGTTGCGGTCCTGCTCAGGGTCTGCCTCTCCCCAGGAGGCCCGCAGGCAGCAGGGGCAGCGGGGAGTGCGTGCTCACCTCCCGCGACACCCGCCTGCACATGTGCCGTCTGCCGGCAGAACTCCTACTCAGCCTTCAAATCCCACACCTCCAGGAAGCCTGCCCAGCCTCTTGTGAATCACATGCTTCCTTGGGTCCCACATCTCCCTCTTCCTGGTCTCCCAAACCAGGCATGGTCAGCAGGGAGGGTGGCAGACCAACAGGACACAGCTGCAGCTCCCTGGGTCAGGGGCCATACTGACCCCACAAGACAGGGGTGCAGAGAAGGAGGCAGGCCCCAGGGCCCCTGAGCCCACTGGGAGAGGCGTGGGGCACAACGTACACAGGTGCTGACCCTGACTTGGAGGTCTGTCTTAACATGTCTGCTCCAGGGCAGATCCCAGAAGCAAAGGCCAAGCCAGATGGTGGCCTGGGGCCAGGCTCTCTCAACCTCCCTGGGCCTGGGGTTTGTCTCTCATCCAATGGGACACTGCTCCCCCCTGGAAGGGCTGTCCAACACACGGAGCGCCCAGCACAGGGCCAGGGGCTCAGTAGGTTCAATGACAGGGGGCATCCATCAAAACCTCCCTCCCTGTGGGTCTGGCTTCATCTAGGGCTTGGCCCACCACTCACTGAGCCCTGGTAATGTCCCTAGCTAGTATTCTAATAGCTCTTGCATCTTACAGACGGGGAAACTGAGGCTCAGAGAGGCCAACATGTCCCAGGCTGCACAGCCGGGCCTCAAACCCCAGCACCTGCTAGGATCTGTGCTTGGGCCACTGGGCATCCGCAGAGGAAGGGGTCAGAGCCAGGGATCTGCCCACTCATCATCTCACCTGTTCTGGGCTGCACACCAACTCCCCCCGGGGCTGCTCCTTGGCTGGGCTTGGGGCCAGGGTCCGGGCTGGACTGGGCGCTGCCTTGTCCTCTCTCAAGGGGGCAGGGGCCGGCTCCCCATTCTCCAGCACATCGATTTCCCTTTCCAGCCTGAGGAGGGGCAGGTGTGAAGGCCTCTGTGTGCCGGGGCCCTTCTGGCACTTTCTGCCCGAGGACCAGCTGGTTTTGACTTTTCCTAACAGCACTGCACCACGGTGCTCTCATCACACCGCTTGACAGTCGGAGAAACCGAGGCACGGCACAGGGTCCCGGGCCAGCAAGGAGCCACCGGACTCGCCCCAGGGCTGGCTCGGCACATCCCTTCACAGTTGGCTGCAGACCCCCCCCTTCCACTCAGATCCATTTTTTTCCCCCACAGGAAACACTCTCTCTTCAGGGACAATGGAAAAAAACGTCACTTTCTGAGAGTCAGGAGATAATGGTACGAATAAACCCAGTGAAAACCAAGCCAGGGTGGGAAGCACAGCGCAGCTCAGGGGCTCCGCTCAGGCCTGCCACCCGCTCCCCAGGCCACCCCCAGGCCGCCCCCAGGGCCACCCCCAGGGCCAAGACACAAAGACCCCCAGGGCCTCCCGGCTGTGCTCCTGCCTGCAGGGGGCGCCTGCCAGCCCCAGGCTGAGTGAAGCAGCCCCAGGGATTCCTGCCTCCCTGCTGGGGAGGGGAGGAGGCCGCGAGGGGGGACCCTCAGCTCCCCCAACTCACCAGACCCCACATGCCTATCGTCACCACCCACCACCCAGGGCCAATCCCCCCACATGCTTCCTCTCAAACCAGTCGGTCAGGACTCTGGCCAGCTTAGGTCCAGCACAGCGGCCTTTGTGCTGGGCAGACTCTCGCCTCTCAGGCCCCTCCCCTGGTGGAGGAGACACTTGGGATTTGGGTCATTTCTCTCTTCCCTGACACCATCACTCCTGTCACTCCTGCCTGCCCGGAAACTCCAGGCGTTTTGTCCCAGCAGGGAAGGCCACTGGCCCCATCCTGCCGGCCCCGCCCACCCCAGGCTTCCTGCAGGCCTAGCTGCCCAGGGCCCAGCACCGGCAGGACAACGCAGGGAGCCAGGAGGAAACTGCAGTCCTGTGCTGGGGGCCACACGCGCCTCCTTCCCAGCCTCTTACACCTGGGGCTGTTGAGAGCCGGGCGGGGGTCCCTAGCCCAGAGGCCAGCAGGGCAGCCTCAGTCCCCATGGCCCCGACCCCTGCGAAGCCTGCTGCTCCAGGGCTGCCCACGTACCCTCAGGACAGCCCCTCGGGCTCTTCCCTGCCCATGCCTCAGCCAACCTCGGTCCTGGAGCCAGTACTCCTGACTGCTCAGGACCGTGCCACCTGACCCCCCATCCCTGGCTCCCGCCCAGAGACAGACCCTCCAGCTGGGCCTGGAAATGGACCCCAGACATTGATGGACCCTAAAAAACTTGGAGAAGGACCCTAGGAACTCGCTTGGAGATGGGCCCCGGGCACCCACCTGGAGATGGACCCCGGCCACCCACCTGGAGATGGACCCGGGCACCCACCTGGAGATGGACCCTAGGAACTTGGTTGGAGATGGACCAGGGCACTCACCTGGAGAAGGACCCTAGGAACCCGCTTGGAGATGGACCCCAGGAACTCGCTTGGAGATGGACCCTGGGCACCCACCTGGAGATGGACCCTAGGAACTCGGTTGGAGATGGACCCCGGGCACCCACCTGGAGATGGACCCTAGGAACTCGCTTGGAGATGGACCCCGGGCACCCACCTGGAGATGGACCCTAGGAACTCGGTTGGAGATGGACCCCGGGCACCCACCTGGAGATGGACCCTAGGAACTCGCTTGGAGATGGACCCCAGGAACTCGGTTGGAGATGGACCCCGGGCACCCACCTGGAGATGGACCCCAGGCACCCACCTGGAGATGGACCCTAGGAACTCGCTTGGAGATGGACCCCGGGCACCCACCTGGAGATGGAGCCCTCCAGGAGCTGAACCTTCTGCTCGTCCTCCTGCATCTGCCTCCTCATGTCCTCCCCATCTGAGGCCGAGGAAGGTGTCCCCTCCAGCAGCCAGCGTTCCCGCAGGGCCTTGGACTGTGCAGCAGGGGTCAGGGTCAGGGTCAGGTCAGGACTGGGGTCAAGGACACAGTCAGCATTGGGCACATGCTCAAGCTTAGGGTCAGGAGTGGGGTCAGGGTCGCCACCCATGGCCTCCATGGCCGAGGCCCCTCCCTCGGACCTTGAGGTGCTGCAGTTGCCGCCTGTCCTCCTCCAGCTGCCGGCGCTTGCCCTCGATCTCCGCCTGCCTCCTCCGCCTCTCCTGGTCGGGGGAGTCGCGGGGTCAGCCCGGCTGGCCACAGGGCCCCACGCCCCTCCCCGAGGCCCCACAGGCCTGTGTCCTCTGGAAGTGAGGATGGCGCTGGGCCTGCTGTCCCGCCCAAGACCCCCGTCCCCCAGTGCCCAGCCTCCCGTCCCTGGTGGGCAGGACTCACGGCAATGGCCTGGAGCCGCTCCTGCTGGGCTGAAGCATCCGCCTCGAGGACCCTGGGGTGAGACAGGTCACGCTGGTCCACTCTGCTTCCAGCCAGCCCCTGGTTCTGCCCTTGTGCAGGGACAGAGTCTTGCTACTGACCCTTTCCCCTCTGGAGAGTGGGCCCTTCCCTGCCCCTCAGAGGCAGCGGTCACTCTATCAGCCTCTCAGGTCATTAACTCACTGGGCAAACCCTCCAGCGCCCTGGGCAGGGCCAAGGGAGGGACAGCCTGAAGGAGGTGCACAGGAGGTGACAAGCCCCGCCCGCTGATGGGTCTGGGAAAGGGGGGCGGTGAGCCTGGCCGGGGGCCGCACAAGAGTTCGCCAGACACACGGGCCAGAGAAGGGCACTGCAGGGAGCAGGCTGGGGTCAGGGTCAGGACTCTTGCCCACCCAGAGGGGAACCAGGGGAGTGAAGGAGCCACCAGACGGCCCCCAGCCCTGGGTAGAAGGCCCAGAGAGGGTGTGACACCGAAGCACAGCGCGAGTCCTGGCTCTGGTCAGGGAGCCTCCACAGCCGTCTCCAGGGCTGGTGTGCAGCAGGTGCTCAAGAAGCGCACATTGCCACAGGCACCCAGGGACAGGGCTCTGAGCTGCTGGAGGACACCTGGGGGACTCCTGCTCCCCGACCCCGACTCTGCCCAGCATCTGCTCTGGCTGGCCAGGAAGCTGCCTGCAGTGGCAGCCTGGTGAATGTTGGGGACGCTGGTGGCCTGTCGCCTCTGCTGCTGCAGAGCCAGCCGCCTTGGGCCTGAGGTAGGGTCCCACTGTCTGCCCCGAGGCCAGCTGCCCGGGCGGGCCTAGCTGCAGGGGAGTCAGGCGCTGAGGGAACAGACCCCCCAACTGCCGTCCTCCCCTCCCACCCCTAACCTCTCAGAACTGAAGACTGTCCTTGGGCCTGCTGCTGTCCTCAACCCCCTTGGCACGTCAGCCCTGGCGCCCACCAGAGTCCTCCCAAGAGCCCGGTACCTCTCTGGGCCTCAGTTTCCCCATGTGCTCAAGTGAGGAGTGACAAGTACCTCTAGTCCCAAGACTTCCCCTTATATCCCAGAGTTGGGCCAGGGAACAGTACCCAAGCCCCACACCACGCTGGCTCCACCTCAGCCCAGCCTGGGAGGCTGCTCAGGGGACAGACAGACAGCCCAGCTGCAGTCCCTGGCCTGCCCCCCGGGGTTCAGCTCCCAGCCTCACCAGGACTGTGGAGTCGCCCTGCTCCCAGCCCAACAGGTGACCCCGCCCAGACCCTCCCTTCCTGGCAGGCAGCACCTACCGCTCCCAGTGATTCCCAGGGGCCCATCTGTGGCTTCCCATCTCCCTCTCGGGATGCCAGGTTTGGCGGATGGGGCTCAGGAAAGGTTTGATCCAGTTTTCTGACTTAAGGTTCTTCCTGAAGAGCCGGGGCAGCTAGAGCTCTGGGCCTGCCCTGCTGTGATGCAGGCTGGGTGTCCCCATTCTACTCCCCACAGAGATGTCTCCTCCCTTCCTGCTGGCCCCACATTTCCCTGCGCCAGCCCAGGCCTCTACACCTCCTGCTGCCTTAGCCTGGCCCACTCGAACAAGGCAGCTTCTCAGATGAGAAGGAGGCCCCGCCACTCCCTTGCCTAAAGCCTCCTTGTCCTGTCACTCCTAGGGTGGAGCCAGTATGGAACCGGGCAGGGCCCAGCCTCTGTGGCCTGTCCACCCCGCCCCTCTGGCCGGCCCTCCTGTCATGTGGCTCCACACGCTGTGCAGAGCTCACCCCTGAGCAGGGCTGCCTCCTATTTGCTGGGTCCCGCGTGGCTGGAAACCAGGTCCAGAGGACAAGACCAGAGGTGGCCAAGTGGCCTCCAGCAGTCACTGTCCCTGAGAGCCACACTGCAGACTCCCTTTCCTGTTGTGATGTAGCAGGCAGAGCTGGGGCGGGGGCCTACCCAGGCCTCTCAGACCCTGCTGCACACGGGGCCGCACGAGGTCGGCAGTCAGGTGGCCGCTCAGAGCGGACACAGGGACGGCTGTGCGGCCAGCTTGCCAGGCTGGAGACAAGGCGGGTAGTGTCCTTGCTTGGGCGGACTGTCCCCTGGGCCAGGGCAGGGGAAGGTCAGGCGGGCACAGAGAGGCGCCAGGACAAGCTCCAGGAGAGGCCCGGGAAGCGCATTCCCCTCCAGTCCCCACCCCTGTCCCCATCCCAGACTGCGAGCCCAGACAGTGCGCCCCCCTCCCTCCCTCCCCAGCCTGGGGGCGCCACAGCCACCCGCCGCCGCCGCGCCCCCGGTGATGGATGGAGGGCCCGCGGGAGGCGGTCGCCCTGGCAACGCGCTGTCCCCATGGCAACAGGGAGGCCCGGCACGCGGGGGTGGGGCCAGCGCGAGCATCTCCGCCCCCAGACGTGGCTGGGGGGCTGCGTGGCTTCCTGCCGAGGCCTCAGGGGCTGCCTCTAGGGCGCGGGGTTTGTCCACCCCCGGGCTGCAAGAAGGGTGGGCTTCCCGGCCCCTCCGACATCTACCAGGAGGGGCGAGGGGCAGGATAAAGACAGCGAGGCGGCGACTAGAGAGGCCTCATCTGCACAACCTGGCAATCGATAAAGGAAAAGGGCGCTGAGCACTAGTGCGGTAAAGTGAGGCTGTCCTCCTGGGACGCCCTGCCTCCCGAGGACACTGCCCCGCCTCTTCACCCATGAGGGACTGAGGCTGTGGAGGGGCCAGGCGGGTCTGCTACCCGAGGCCCGGCTCTGTCCAGGGCCAGACACAGCCAGGCGCCCCACGGCCCGGATGCGGGGTCTCCTGGAGGCCTGGAGAGGCGGGGCCCCATCACAAAGGGTCTTAGTGCCGGAGGAGAAGCTGGTTTCGCTAAAGGCACGAGTATTCAGAAGAGAGCGGCAGCCCCCGGCTGTGTGATCCCAGGCAACCCACTCCTCAGCCTCTGAGCCTCGCCTGCCTCCGCTGGGCAGTGGGCAGCAGCTCTGAGCCGCTGGGGGAAGATGCTGCACCTGGGTGCCCATCATCCGCGTGGGCAGGCGTCCTGTCCGCGCACTTATTTTAACGGCGTTTGAAGCAAAATCTGGGCTCGAGCGCGGTGCTGTGGGCGGCTCAGGACTCGAGGGTGTGGACTGAGGCTGAGAGATACTCCAGGCTCCCGGAGATGAGCTAATGGGGACCCAGCCCAGGGACAGCACGCAGGGGCCTCCACTTTGCAGAGCATGTGTTTTTTAAAGGTCCAGAGAGGTTATGCAACAGGCCCAAGGTCACCCAGCGGGCAGGACGGCAGTCTGGAGGTGTGGGGGTGTAGTGCGTCTCCCCACAGGGCTTGCCCGGGCAGCAGCACTAGGCTGGCAAGAATGTGAGGGTCCCATCCCAGGGCCGGCACTGGGCCCAGTGTCCAGAACATTCCTGTGCTAACTGAAAGAAAACAGCTGACAGTGACCTTGGCCATGCAGTGGGAGAGTCACGTGGCCCCGGGGAGTGAGGTGCCCAGAGCCCCTTCCCACTGTGGGCTGTGAGGGCAGGCCTCATATCACCTCTCTGGTCCCCCCTGGACTCCCAGGACCGTGTCCACCCCCTGCCCTGCTGCATCCCCAGCCTCCCCCTCCCCCAGACCAGCTCTTTCAGTGGGGGGCCTTGCCCCTGGCCCCATGGGCTCAGCCTCCTCCTCCCCTCCTCCACCTGCAAGCGCAGCCGCACAGCCACCTCTCCCGGGAAGCCCTCCTGGATCTCTGGCCCCTCAGCCCTCCTCAGGAGGGTTCCCAGGGCCCCACAACACCTGTGAGAACAACTCACCACCCATGGAAAAATCTAGAAGCATCACCCCAGGGCAGAGGGGGTCAGGGCAGGCCACAGACCAGAGAATCCAATCTATTGCCCCCGGCCTGGGATGGGGTGGGGAGGAGCTGTACCCTGCCCTGGCCCTCACAGCAGGGAGGGGGCAGCCGGCTGAGACCAGCCCCAGAGGCCACCTCCTCACGGAGCCTCCCCTGACCACCTAAGTTTTGCCCCCAGCACCTCCAAGCCCCCAGCCCACCCAAGAACACAGGATCCAGACCACAGACCAGAACCGTGGAACTCAACGATCTTGCTTTTTTCCTGTCTCCCCAACAGGACAGGGCTGTGCTGTCCCTGGCACACAGCAGGCACTTAATGTCTGCTGGACCAGTGAGCAATCTCAGAGGAAGCCCCCGACCAAAGGGCCCCTGGCCTCAGCCTTCCCCTGCCACACACCTGCCACCCCAGGGCCACCTGCCCTTCACCACATCTTCCTGCTGAGGCTCTGTCCGGCTCACACTGAGCCAAGGCAGGGTCCTCACCCAGCCCAGCACCCACGAGTGACAGCGAGTGACGATACAAAGCACCAGGCATCTGCAGGTGGACAAATGGGTACAAGTTGTGGCCCATCCCTGGAGCGCCCTCACCGTGAGCAGGAGCGAGGTGGCACTGCTGCAGTGGGGGCCTGGTGCTCAGTGAGACCAGACACCGGGGCACCCCGTGTGACAGTGAGAGGAGGGTCCAGGACAGGGCCGCGGGGCAGGGCTGGGGGGCAGGGCCGGGGGGGTGACAGAGTGCTGTGAATTGGGGCTAGTGATAGTCACGTTCTCGGGATTGACAAGCAGCTGAGCCCTCCTCCCGGGGGACCCAGGGCTGCCCACAAAGCCCCCCGAGTTGCAGGTACGCCTCAGACTCACACCCGAAGGGGACCACTGCCCTGTCCCGTGGTGCTGGGAGAAGCCAGGCCGCGGCTGTGGCCTCCGAGGGGACTCTCCTGCAGGAGTGTCAGCTCCGTGGCTCTTCCTGACTCCCGGTGGGACTTCCACCAAGTGCGGGGAGGGTGCTCAGAGGCTGCAGATTTTGGAATTTCAGGTCAGGGCTACTCAACCTGAACTAAGAATGTGAGCTGGACACTGGACATGGGTCAGGAGGCATGGACTGGAGCCTCGGCCAGGCTGAGCAGCTCAGTGTGGCTGACCCATCCAAGCCTACCTTCCCACTGGCCAGGCCAGGCTGGGCTGTGGTCCTGCCACCCACGTGGGCAGCATGAGGCCCTTCCTGGGGCTCTGGTCAGAGTCATGCACACTAAGGAAGGGCACTCCTCCTCGTTCTGTGACAGGGGTCACCAGACTCTGCCCAGGCTGCCGCCGTCCACCCCAGGAGGCTGCAGGTCTGGCCATCCCACCTGCACTCCTCTGACCGTGCGGTGCCCCCGCCTGCCTGCCCTCACTCTGGCCCTCACCAGCCTGGCTTACTGGGCTCCCCAGCCCAGCTCAGGTCGTCTCTGGGACCAGTGACCAGCTCTGGCTGCCTCTGAATTCCTGCTGGAAACCCCTGGCAGGAGACAGCCACCCTGCCTGACTGCTCCTCACACCCACACCGCCACACAGCCACCATCCAAGACAGCAGGCCCCTGCAAGGACCCTCCTGGGCTGGCTGTCCATCCCTGTGGGAGCTCTAACCACCACGCAGCTCTGGAGTCAAACCCAGGAGCAGCAGCCACACCTGTCATCCCAGTGACTCAGGAGGCTGAGGCAGGAGGATCTCAAGCAAGGCCAGCCTGGTATCCCCAGTGACACCCCATCTCAAATAAGATAAAAAGGGGCCAGCGGTACGGCACCCGCCCAGCGTGCACGGCCTGGGTACCAGCCCCAGCACTGCAGGAGGGGAGTGGAGAGGAGAGGCGGGGAGGAAGGGAGGAAGTCCTACAGTCAGGCCTCCTACCTGGCTCTGGTGGAGATGTTCTTGTCAGAGCCCCAACGGGCCCCTTCCTGGACCTGCCCCTGGTACCTTCAAGGCCCTTGCTCCTCTGATGCTCAGACACTGCCCACAGCTCCCCCGGGTACAGTCCAGGCCTGCCAGGATTCAGACCACAAACCAGAGAATGTTCTCATCTTTAGATGCTTCCCACCTCCGGGCCTTTGCACACGCGTGCACCAGGTGCACCCTTCTGTCTGCTGGGTAGACCCTTGAACCATACTTCATAGAAAAGGCCTCGGTGGAAGGGGCCAGGAGACCTTTCCCACACTACTTCTTTCTTGCTATCGGGATTGAACTCAGGGGCGATTTGCACGGAACCACATCCTCAACATGTTTTTTTTTTTTTTTTTAATTTTGAGTCAGGTTCTTGCTAAGCTGCTGAGAACCTCACTGAGTTGCCCAGGCTAGCCTGGAAGGTGAGAGCCTCCTGCCTCAGCCTCCCAAGTTGCTGGGTTTACAGGCGTGGCCACTGCACCCAGTTTTCCCCACACTTCTGACCAAGCTGGGGGTGGGAAGGTCAGCAGGGACGGCTGTTACATGAGCAGATGATTGTTTGGGTGAAGACAGGGCAGAAGAAAAAGTCAGTTGTTTTTATTTTTAACATTTAAAAAAAAAATTTTATGTGGTGCTGAGGATGGAACCTGGTGCCTCACGCATGTGAGCCCCAGCCCCAGCCCAAAAAAGTCACGTTTTTTTAAGAACATCAGCCCACTTTCCAGCTTTAAGGTCCAGGTCCCAGGGAAGGACCTGGCCACAGGCGGAGGCAGAAATGCTGGCCCTGGGTGGTATGAAGGCACGGCCTCACCCCACCTGACAGCACTTAATTTTCCTCAGAAGAAAATCAGCCACAGAAAGCAACATGCCCAAAGATCCCCAGGGAGCCCCACTTCCGAAGGAGTCATAGAAGTGATGGGGAGGGGGCTGCATATGCCCCGGGTCCAAGAACCCTGCCAAGGCTCCCTTCGGCCTGGCTCAGAAAACTAAAAGAAGATGCCAGTGTATCTGATACCCTGGACCCTCCAGACCTCAGCCCTCAGACCCAGGAAAGCACCAAAAAGCTCCCGGGCTCCCACCCTGAGGGCTCCCTGGCTGGGTGGTCTCCTGAGGCTTCTTGACCTCTCTGGGCCTGTTTCCGCACTGGCCTGACTGCCTGCGTAGGAACCAACAGGTTCACCCCATGAGGTACTCAGAGCTGGGCCAGGGAGACAGTCAGTGTCCACCGAGTAAACAAGCCGGCCACTCTGCCCATCCTGCAGCCCCTGGGCTCCCAGTTGAAACTAAATGCCCTCCCTCTGGGGTAGAATGCTACATTGTTACCAAGAAAACCAGAAGTTGTTGCCGCGACATCAGAGCCAAAAAGCCCTGCGCAGACAGAGCGGTTAATGGAAGCTGGTTGTGACATTCAGTCCTCACTGGATTCCTGCCTTAACCCACCCGCTTCTTGGGAGGGAGACCTGCGATTTCGATTTCGAGCTGCAAGGAACCAGCCAGCGCCCCAGCAGACCTCCCTCCGGAGGTCCCCGCCGAGGGCAAGGAGGAATCTGGGGCAGCCCGGGTCTCCCAGGGCAGAGGTCCCCAGCCCAGCACCTGCTCACTGCATCCTGCAGCTCACTGGATACTGGCTGTTTCTGTCAAATCCTCACATTGTTAATGAAAATTCATTTAAGCCTTAAACTCACAGCATTTCCATGTCCTTCAGACCTTAAATGTGATTTTTGAACTCTCCATCACCCTGGGGGCCGCAGCACCCAGCCGCACTCCAGGGTGGTGGGCCAGGAAATCGTGGTGATGGTGAGGTCAGCTGTCCCATTCTGGCTGCCCTGCCTCCGTCCAGGCCCACAGCCCATCTCCCCCCACCCCCGTGGAGAAGGCCCAGGAGTGAGGGCCAGGTGTCCAAGACAGGGCTGCCCCCGATGAAGCCTCTCCCTACCTTCTGTCACCAGGGAGCTGGAGAGAGCTTTTTCCACGGCTGTCCACAGCTGCAGACACCCAGCCCTCCTTCCACCCAGACATAGCAACTGAGGGCCCAGTGAGGGCCCCTGGCACAGCTGACCTATGCCCAAGAAGCTGCAGGGCTAGTGTGGGAGGTACTGTGTGACCCTGGGGCAGCTGCTATCCCCCTCTGAGCCTCAGGATCTTCAGTGGGGAAGGAAAAGGGCGGTGGGAAAGGGAACAATAGGGTCCAACCGGCATATTCCCTCAGCCTGCTCCTCTGGGTGGGTGTTCTCCCTGCCTCCTGCCCCTGGGCAGCCCCCTCCCATGGCCACACCCTGCCCAGGCCCTGCTGTCAGGAGGCCTGAGAAACTCCCCTGAGCCACGAGAGCAAAGCAGATAGCAGATAAACAGGCCGGGGAGGGGACGGGAAGCAGGCAAGTCCAGGCCCTGGCTCCCCCGAGCCCCTGGCTGGGCTCCCCTCCCAGGGCGGTGGGGGAGCAGGCCAGGCCTTTGTCTGGTGTTTCAAAAGCAGAGGACACAGGGTGTCTCTCCTTTCCCAGGCAGGGAGCCTGGCGGTGGCTCCCACCCAGGCCAGGGTGTGGCGGGTCACGGGTAGATCCCGGGAGGAAAGTTACCACTTAGAAAACACAGCCAGAGGGAAGGCTGGGGGAGTGACCTCTGGCCTGGACAGGCGGGCTGGACTTCCATGCCAGCCCCGATGGGTGGGAATGGGGCCCCAGAGGGGGGCACTGCTGGCCCTTTCACAAGGTACACATCTGGACACAGAAGGTGCGTCCCCCTCCACTGCCCATGCAAACCCATCCGGCGACCTGGGGGTGGGGCACCTGTGTGAGTGAGGGGCCTGGCCGCACTCTCACTGGGAAGAGGGGACTGAGCCCAGAGTGACCAGGCACACTCACTGGGCACCTGCGTCCAGAACACTCTGCGGCCAGCCGCTCCCCGAACCCCACACGGAGTCAGCTGCCCACTGCCTCCAGACTCCAGGACTCCAGCTGCGGCCCCCTCCAGGCCCTCTCGGCCACTCCACTGGGTCCCCTTCTTGGGGAAAGGGGCTCAGACTTCCAGAGGGGCGGGAACCAAAGCCAAGCTTCCATCTGGGAACCGCCTCAGCCGCAGGGAGGAAGACCAGCGAGGCCCCTCCCGCCCGCACAACTCACGACAAGCCCTGGCGCCGGACCTGGGCCTGGGCAGGGGCTCAGGACACCTGGCAGGCCCTGGGAGCGCAGGGTGGGGCAGGACTGGCCGAGCGCGAATGCGCGACCGGGGCGCAAGCAGCGGAGCTCGGGCGGGGCGGGGGAGGGGTGCCTGGCCAGAGCCGGCCAGTGCCATTTGGGGAGGGGTCGTGCGGCTCCCTGAGGCCGCCCACCCACAGGTGGCCCATTCTTACCCGGGGGACGCGGGCGGGCGGGCGTACGCCTCCGCCGGGTCCCGGAAGCCCCCAGCCCGGCCCCCCTCCCGCGGCCCCGGGGTCTGCAGGGGAGGCCCCAGGAGTGGCCCCTTGGAAGCGGGCCGGGCCGGGAGCCCCTCGGCGCCGCTGTGGCCGCGCGGGGGCCGCGACGCCCCCACCCGAGGCAGGCGTGGGCCCTCCGGGTGGCGGCCCGCGCGCGCCTACTCACTCCATCTCCGCGCGAGGTCAGGTCCGCGGTGCCGCTGCGGGGACGGCGCGGGCGGGCGGGCGGGCGGGCGGCTAGGGCCTGGCGGCCGGGGCTGCGCGGCGCGGGGGCGGCACCGGCGCGGGCATCGCCGCGCGCGGCGGGTATTGTCCGGGCGCGGCCGGGTGGGCTCGTGCGCGCGCCGCGCTCCCCTGCGCGCCCGCGCTGCGCCTCCTGCCGGCCGCCGCAGGCCGGCGCGCAGTCCCCGCAGCCCGAGGCTCGGCCGGCGGCTCCCAGACGGCTCCCGCCCTCGCCGCCCCCGCCGCAGCGTCGCACCGCGAGCGAGCGGCGCCCTCCCCGAGGTGCCAGCGGGGCCGGGGTCGACGGGCCGGGAGAGGGGAGGGAGCCCCGGACGCCAGGCCGCCGCTCCCGGGAGCCAGCCCGGAGGCCCCGCAGCCCGCCTCGGGTGGGGACCTCCGCGGGGAGAGGCGGAGCGGCAGAGGAAGGACACGGCAGCCAGGGCAGCCTGAGGCCCAGCCAGGGCTAAGGTTGGACCCGGGCTACCGAATCCCAGGGCGCTGCCCAGAGTGGCTGAGGCGGCCACAGGGGGAGAGGCAGGGGCCTGTCTTCCCAGGTCCGTGAGGAAGCCCTCTGGCCACCCACAGGCCCACCCTCTGGCACCTGGGGCTGCAGGCTCGGAGATCTTCCAGAGTCCCAGTCCTTCTGCTCTAGGTGCTGGGTAAATCCGTGCTGCTCTGGGCTGCAGGGAGCAGGCCTTGCACCTACTAAGCACCTGCTGTGTGCCCTACTCAGGTTAGGAAATGAGTGCTTCCTTGATGCCCTTCCTAGAGGAGATGCCCAGGCTCCATGGCCCTGGAGACCCTGGGCTTCTCAGACAGAGGGTCAGAGACCTACTCAGCCTGCTTCTACCTCTCCCCACAATTAACCGAGACTCACTCCCCAGGGGGCTGTGTTTTCTGATAGGAGAAGAAAAAGACATGACCAAGATTTAATCTCTCCACTGTATAAAGAGCACCAGAAAATCAGTGACAACAGCAAGTCGACAGTATCATCATTCATGAGTCCTCACAGACTGTTGTCTAAAGACAGGGAAATCCATTCAGACCCTTATGGAAAGACCCTTCAGGGTCACAGTCCAGCAGTTCTGTGCCAGACCCTCTGCTCTGCAGCCCCAGACAAGCTGGCTCCCCTTTCTGGTGAGTTCAGGAAGCCTGCTCCTCAGGGTGCCAGGAGCTTCTTTCTGGGAGTCAGTAGAGCACAGTTATTTGTTTTAAAACTGCTGTCAAAGGAGAAGGAAATGAAACTGACAAAATTAGAGGCTTCAGCCCTGGCCCCTTGCTCCCTTTCTGTGTGACCTGATGAAGGAGCTTACCCTCTCTGAGCCTGTTTCCCCTTCAGTCACACATGGAGAAAAACAGTGCCCACATCCTCCACATACCTGTCACTGCAGGTGATACTGGTCCCAGCCCCACAGGCACAGGGCTGCCAGAGGTTTTCCACGTCTCTGCCTCTGAGCTCCCCATGAGCTGGGGAAGGTGGGAGCAACACAGACCAGGGTACCCTGGTGCTGACTGCACCATCCTCGGTCTGAGCCCTGGGGACCCTGACACACCAGACAGCCTAGAAGGCCACCAAGGTCAGCACTGAACTATGTTTATGCTCTGCAGATGACCAGGAGCATGTGTGCAGCGAAGGGCACTAAGAGGTGGCCAGACCAACGACAGGTGCTGCAGCCTCCGGACACTGCCCCCAGGGCCTCCCACAGCAGCAGCCCCAGGTCCTGCAGGTGGGGGCTTTGTCCTGACCCTTGGGAGCCCCATGTACAGCTCCTCCTACGGCTCCCTGGGTGGGCAGGCCAACAGAGGCTGCCGCTCAGGACCTTCCACACCGGAGTCTGGTCTGCACCAAGCTCCTTAGGCATTCCACACTCACGCCCCCTGTCCCTGCTCTGTCCCCTCTGTGGCTGTCTCTCTCCTCTGTCTCTCTCCTCTCTCTCTCTCTCTCTCTCTCTCTCTCTCTCTCTCTCCCCCCCTCTCTATGTCTCTCCTGTCTCTGTCTCTCCCCTCTCTGTGTCTCTCCCGTCTCTGTCTGTCTCTCCCCTCTCTGTGTTTCTTCTTTCCTGTCTCTGTCTCTCTCCTCTCTGTCTGTGTCTCCCCCATCTCTGTCTCTCTCCTCTCTGTCTGTGTCTCTCCTGTCTCTGTCTCCTCTCTGTCTGTGTCTCTCCCATCTCTCCCTCTCTGTCTATGTCTCTCCTTTCTCTGTCTCTCTCCTCTCTGTCTGTGTCTCTCCTTTCTCTGTCTCTCTCCTCTCTGTGTCTCTCCCATCTCTGTCTCTCCCGTCTCTCTCTGTCTCTCTCTCCTCTCCTCCCTCTCTCCCCCTCCCCCTCTCCTCCCCCCTCTCTCTGTCTCTCTCCCCCCCTCCTCTCCTCCCTCCCTCCCTCTCTCTCTCTTCTCTCTCTCCTCCCCCTCTCTCTCTCTCTCTCTCTCCTCCCTCTCTCTCTCTGTCCTCCCTCTCTCTCTCTCTGTCCTCCCTCCCTCTCTCTCTCTCTGTCCTCCCTCCCTCTCTCTCTGTCCTCCCTCTCTCTCTCTCTGTCCTCCCTCTCTCTCTCTCTCGTCTCTCTCCCTCTCTCACTCTGTCTCTCTCCTCTCTCTCTCTCTCCCTCTCCCTCTCTCCCTCTCTCTCTCCCCCTCTCCTCCCTCTCTCACTCTGTCTCTCTCCTCCCTCCCTCTCTCTCTCTCTCTCTGTCTGTCTCTCTCTCTCTCCCTCTCTCACTCTCTCTCCTCTCTCTCTCTCTCTCTCCCCCTCTCCTCCCTCTCTCACTGTCTCTCTCCTCCCTCCCTCTCTCTCTCTCTCTGTCTCTCTCTCTCTCTCCCTCTCTCACTCTGTCTCTCTCCTCTCTCTCTCTCTCTCTTCCTACTGTCTCTCTCCTGTTTCTTTCTCCTGTCTCTCTCCTCCCTCCCTCTCTCTGACTCTCTCTCCTCCCTCCCTCTCTCTGACTCTGTCTCTCTCTCTGTCTCTCTCTCTCTTTCCTCCCTCCCTCCCTCTCTGTCTCTCTGCCCTCCGACTCTGTCTCTCTCCTCTCTGTCTCTCTGCCCTCCGTCTCTGTCTCTCTCCTGTCTCTGACCCTGCCTCTGTGTCCTGTGTGGCTCACTGAGGGTGGCAGAGTGAAATGGCATGTCCACACCATGGAGATGGCCTCACTGCAGGGACCCCACCACTGCGATGGCTGTGACCTGCCGGTGGTGTCCCTTGGCACAGCCTGTGGCCCAGGACACCATCTGCACCTGCAGGATGTCACCCCAGGGGACCGCAGTCCCCTGTGCCCAGCCCCTGTGGTGTGACCAAGGTGGCACTGTCAGAGCCCTCCAGAGCACTGTCTTCTTGTCCTTCCAATCCTGAGGTCAGCTGAGGCTGCCAGTGGGGACATCGATGCTTGAGTGGCAGGAGCTCGGCCACACCCAGTCAGGGTCAGGTCAGCCTGTGGGGAGGGGACTGCTGGTGTCCTGGGTTGTGGCCCTGTGGGGGTGCAGAGAGCTCCAAGGTCCAGAAGGTCTGAGCCCGGTAAGCAGAGGCCTGGAGAGACCGGGAGCCCTGCAGCAGTCCTCGAGGACCAGAGTCCCCAGGGCCCGGCTCGCCTCAGGGCCAGCTTTGGCTTCTGTGCACAGAGGACAGCCAGGTTGCCCAGTTTCCCAGAAGCACCCAGCTGTGCCTGGGCGGTCCACGGCCTCCTGACCACAACCCACAGCCCTTTCCCCCCTTCCGGACCGTTGGGTGGGGGTGGGGCTGCAGCCCAGAGGTCTCTGTGGGAGAGGAGCCTGCTTGGCCATGGGGCCCAGGCTGGGGGACTGGGGGCGCCTGCTGCTGACCCTGGCCGCGGCCCTGACACTGCCTACCAGGGCCCCTGGTAAGGATCCTGACTCCCACCCCAGCCCCTCCGACTCCCGCAGGGGAGTCCCAGGTGGCCCTGCACCTGGCCGTGGCCCTGGGGCAGCCACTCAGCTGGGGATGGGACCCCAGGCTTACAGGGTCCCAAGGCCCCTGCAGACGCTCTCTCCTGCCCCTGTGTGTCTCTGCCTCTCCCCCACCCTGCCCTGTGCCCACCTGCCTGGTGCCCAGCCTGGCCCCTCACACAGCTGCCCCACTGCAGGCTCCCTGGGGGCGCAGATCATCGGGGGCCGTGAGGTGACTCCCCACTCCCGGCCCTACATGGCCTCTGTGAGCTTCGGGGGCCAGCACCACTGTGGGGGCTTCCTGCTCCGATCCCGCTGGGTGGTCTCCGCTGCCCACTGCTTCAGCCACAGGTGAGGTTCTTCCTGACAGCAGGAGCTGGCCCTGGCCAGCAGGGAGCCGGGCTCTGCAGGGACAGGGTGGACGCCACAGCTTGTCGGGGTCTCTCAGGACCCACACAGGCAGCAAGGAGAATGGGAGGAGGGGTGGCGGGGTGGTGAGGAGGCAGGGGGACGGTGACCCCACGTGGCTGCCATCATTGCTGTTGCGTGGACACTGCTATCACCTGTGTCAGGTGGGGGCCGGACCACCAACATGCTAAGCACCATGCTCACTCTAAGTGTGTCCTAGCCAGGATTCTGACCGGTCCTGCAGCTCCTGAGACATCACTGAGCTGAGGCCACAGGGCTAGGCCCCTTACTTGGAGGAGGGTCTCAGGCCCCTGTTCTGTCCTGCCACTCTCCATAGGGACCCCCGTGAGGCCCTGGTGGTGCTCGGGGCCCACACGCTGCGCCCCCAGGAGCCCACCCGGCAGGTGTTCGGCATTGCGGCGGTGACCAGGCACCCCGACTACCAGCCGGCCACCCACGCCAACGACATCTGCCTGCTGTGGGTGAGCAGGGCGGCCACACCCAGTGTGACCTCTGGATTTGTGTTTTGTGGTGCTGGGGACCAAAGCCAAGGCCTCGCATGTGCCAGGCAAGAGGCCACCGCTGAGCCACTAGCACCCAATGAGGCAGAGGGGCCCTGTGAGCACCTGAGCCAGTCACACCCCTCCTGGCCCGGCCACCTGGCTCCGCCTCCCACGTGCCCCTCCTCCTGGCCCTGGCGCCGGCTGGGCCGGCTCTGCTGCGCGGAGGACGAAGGATCTTTCCAGTATCAGCTCGGTGCCCTTCCCTGGCGTTTGGCAGCCCTCCCCTCACCTGTCCCGTGCTTTTGTCTGGCACCAGAGTCACCTGTACACCTGGGCCATTGCTTGATGCCTCCTCTGGACCTTGATGGCCACCCATGGTACAATCAGGCTCCATACTTGAAAGAGGGGATGGGTGAGGTCCAGGCTTCCATCAAAGACCGCAGCCTGCCGTGGGCTGGAGGGGCCCTTCCGTGCCCCCAGGGCCTGGTATTCAGTGGGGAGCACACCCAACCTGCCCTGGACCTTCGAGACACCCGCCCGGGTCCGTGGACAGGTCCGTGGGCAGGTGTGGGGGCACCGTCCTTCCCTAGCCCATCAAGGAGGTCTGCACTCCCAGCTGCCACGGCCTGGGGGACCTGCTCACCCGACACCCCAGCGCCCTGCACCTGCCGCTCACGTTCGCTTGGCCCCTCTACAGATGGGGAAACTGAGGCAGGCCGGCAGTGAAGTGCCTGCAGCACCAAGGGGAGTGAGTCCCAGCCCAGGGTCTGCGCCACTGTCTGCCTCTGAGGATGGCAGCCCCTCAGGCCCAGCCGCCTCCCCGCTCTGTGCAGTCCCCGAGGACCTCTGTGGGCCACGGGCAGCTGCTGGGTTCTGGTTCTGGTTCTGGCAGGGTGCTGGGGCGGAGCCAGGGCCTCCCCCTTGGACCTGAGTGAGGAGGCTTCCCTGTGGAGGAAGGGTGGCCCCAGCAGGGCACCAGGAGGAGCCTCAGCAAACCTGCCCTGGCAGGAGGCGAGACAGGCTGGGGAACCGTCGGCCTGGTCCATGTTAATGGTGGACCCCGAGGGCACTGGGGAGCCACGGAGGGCTAAGAGCAGGAAGGAGGCGCAGGCTGGTGAGATGGAATCTGGTGGGCGGAGGCCCAGGGCACCTGCGGCGGCCCCAGACGGCCTCCTCGGGGCGCGGCGGTCCCAGGTCGGCGCGCCGTGGGCGGAGCCCTGAGTCGGCCTCTCCCCGCAGCTCAACGGCTCTGCGGTCCTCGGGCCTGCGGTGGGGCTGCTGCACCTGCCGCGGAGCGGCGCCAGGCCACCCGCGGCCGGGGCGCGCTGCCGGGTGGCCGGCTGGGGCTTCGTGTCGGACTTCGAAGAGCCCCCCCCAGGACTGATGGAGGCCGAGGTCCGTGTGCTGGGCCTGGACGTCTGCAATAGCTCCTGGAGGGGCCAGCTGAGCCCCCACATGCTCTGCACCCGCAGTGGGGACCGGCGGAGGCGGGGCTTCTGCTCGGTAAGTGCCCCCACCCATCCGCTTACGTAGGGCAAAGAGCCGCCGCCTAGGGTCAGGGCTGGGCAGGGGCGGCCTCGGGCCCCGGGTCCCGGTGCTGCGACCAGGAAGGGCGGGGCGTCCCCGGGGCCACCGGGGTGTGGTGCTGGGCTGTCGGGGTGCGCAGGCACGGAGCGGCCCTCCTTGTGCAGCCACAAGCAGTGTCCAGCAGGGGGCAGAGCAGGGCCACAGGAAGCCGCCCCTGCCCGACTCCTGGAAAACACGTGAACGCGGGCAGCTCTGGGGAAATGGCCGGGAGGGAGGGTCGTCAGCTCCAGAGAAGAGAGGCGTGGTGTAGACAGACTCCAGCGCCCACCAGCCTGAATCCAGTGCAGGCAGCGCCACCTCATGTCTCCGGGCCGCACTGCTTCCAGCAGTGAAACCGCTATACTGGCAGTTCCTGCTTCATAGGGTCAGAGCTGAGTCCAGAGGGCAGTTAGGGTGGTGGGACCAGGGGAGATTTTAGGGTGGGTGTCCGGGAGGCCTCTCTGAGAAGAGCAGCGTGGAGATGAAATTTGAAGCCTTGAGGTCTGAGGGAAGGTATGCCAGGCAGAGATGGCTTAGAGGACTACTAAGTACATTCGGGCAGATGGTGCACTGCACAAAGATCACAGACTCCACCGGACAAACAGGTCTCTAGGACCTGCAAATGTGGGAAGAGCCTGAGGCTGGTGTGGTTGCAGCCCTGAGTCAGGGGCAAGAAGGGCAGAGGGAGGGCAGGTTTGGGTCCTCGCGGCCTGGAAGGCAGAGGAGAGCACTAGGGAGCTGCTGAAAGGTTTTAAAGCAGGGTGTGTGGGGTGTGTGTGATTCACCTGCAGAGGCTCCTTTAGGGAAACGAGATCCATGGCCCCTTACCTCCCTTCTCCTTCACCCTAGGCGGACTCCGGAGGGCCTCTGGTGTGCAGGGGCCGGGCCTATGGCCTCATCTCCTTCTCAGGCCTCTGGTGCGGTGACCCCAAGACCCCCGATGTGTACACACAGGTCTCTGCCTTCGTGGCCTGGATCTGGGGTGTGGTTCGGGGAGGCCGCCCCACCTAGGATTGCAGAGCACCGCCTGGGCGCTGCCTGAGCCACAGCCCTGCTGATGACCTGCCACTTGGACTGCAGCACCCCATGGCTGGACCCTGAGGCCCAGGCACTGGTTGTGGGGGATCTCTGCTGCAAATGAAGAGAGCAGAACCGAACCCAGTTGATGACTAGACACGTGGGCACCAGCCTCTGCCACGGACAGTTCCGGGGCCCGGTCCAGCCAGTGTCTGTCCTGCCTGCAGTCCTTTCCATCCTTCCATGCCCCCCACAGACCTCTGAGGAGGTATCCGGCCCTCCCACCCTGGACCCCAGCACCCCTGCCGAGAAGGCCGACGAGCCCACCAGTGTCCGGGTGGGGAAACTGAGGCTGGGAAACCTGGAGTGCTCTGAGGAGGGGTGGGGCTGCAGGGATGCCAGACAGGGGTCTCCCTATCTCAGGTGGGCCTGGCCTCCCAAGCCTTGCCCCCCATCCTCTGATGACCACAGCAGGTGGCCGGTCACAGAAGGAGATTGCCCCAGGCTGTACAATCACATGGCTACTGCTGTTGCACCCCAACTCTGAGGCCGGGATTTGTTTTTGAACCCCCAGCCAGCTGGCTTCTTGGGGTTGTCCTGAGCTGTCTCACACCCCTGCCTTCCCCACCCACAAAGGCCCCTTTTCTCCCTCCCCTCTCCTACTCAGTCCCTCCTGCTGCCCTCCATTGCTTGGAGGTGGAGCTGAGCCCAGGAACACAAGCCCAGGCTTCTCTGGATGCTCCCAGGACTCCACTAGTCACCCCCTAGCTGCGGGGCAGCACAAGACCCAGAGAGAGGAGGCGAAGGCAGGCCTGGACACCCCCAGTAGCCTTTCCAGTCTTTATTTCTTTGGTGAGGCAGAACCCAGGGTGGGGAAGGCTGCCCTGTGGGCTCAGTGGACCCCTGGCTCGGGGTGCTCACTGGAATTTGCAGCACAGCTCTCTGGGCTGGAGAAAGATGGGCAGGGCCTCACTGTCCACCTGGCCCTGGACCAGGGAGCTGGGCTTTCTGCCCACTGGTTTGCCTCTGGTCTCCAACACAGTCTGAGTGGAGGGTAGCAGCCTCAGGGACTGGCTCCAGAACTAGCTGGTGCGGCCACCCCCAGCCCAGCTGACAGGTGGCTAGAGGCTATCGGGGAACTGGGTCTAAAGCCCTGGCCAAGGCCTGCCACTGGGCAGCAGGAACCCAGCGCTGCCCAGGTCAGTCTTGGTCCCCACTCTTGGGGTAAGCTGGGGCTCCTGGTCCCCATCTGGTCATCCCTAAGTGGACAGCACATTGCAGGACACAGGACACAGTTCTGGGTGAGTGCTGGTGGCCCCACATCTGAGGCCATGGAATCTCACCAGTTGAACCTCTGGGAGGTGGTGGGCAGATGTGCCCGAGACAGGAGGCATGGATGGGACCCTGCTCAGGCAACATGCGGGGCATTTCTTAGGGGCCTCACGGGAAGTACTGGTAGGCAGAGGTAGTGGGGAGGCAGGAACCTGTGGTTCTTGGGCTGGGAGGCCACCATGCCACTTCCTTGGCCTTTTGCTTATCTGGTATGGGCACCTGCCCTGGGCCCCAGCGCCGGGCTTTGAGGCCAGCCTCCTCACCTCTGTCCTGGGGAGGGGAGGGCCGTGGAGCTTCTCACAAACCATTAGCAGGGGCCGCCAGTGCAGCGCGCTGGCGGTGTAACCGACAGGCATCTCCAAAGAAGCAGAAACGGGATCCTCTGGGCAGGTACCTAGGATAGGGGCTGGGCTTCCCCAGGAGGTCCCCTAACCTGATGCTGCGTCTCCAGGGCAGCCACATCCACTGGCCCTTTGGGAGGTCTCCTTCCCTCCGCCCTTCCAAGACATCTTCAGTGCGCTCTGGGATCCCCAAGAAATCCCCACTCAGGTTCAGTAGTCCGCGGGACATAAATTAGATTCTGCTGCTGTGACAATAAATAAGAGGGACGGCCTCGAACGCCAGGCGGTGCTGCTGCAGCTCACACGAAGTTCTCCTCCTCCGACTCGACCTCCGACTGCTCCTCGCGAGCGCCTGCAGGGCAGGGAGGAGCAGAGCTTGAGCGCTGCCGGCGCGGAGGTTGGCGTTCCCAACTGGCCCCGCCTCACCTGCGCAGCTTCCAGGGTGGCGAACGCCGATGGAGCGACCCAGGAAACACGTGGCCTGGCGCAGGTGGCACGAGGAGATATAGGTGACGTTGTTGTTGCCGCAAAGCTCTTGGCCGGGAATGGTAGGCGCCGGGCAGGGCGCGGATCGACACATCACGCAGTGCGCACTGCCGGTCTGGTCCACCACGCACGACTGGGGCCGTGGGCACACCACGTGCACGCAGGACTCTGCAGGCCAGACGCGAGGGAGGGTCAGGGGCGACACAGCTCCGAGAATCGCCGGATGGGCCCACAGCCTTGACCTCTCGGTCCGCCCGGCCTGGCCCCTGAGGGCGCACGGCTCTCCACGCGAGTGTGCCCTGGGACTATACCGGGGGGCTACCCCCACGAAACCTGTGAGACTGCATCCAGGACCAAGCTCTGCCCCTCTCGCCTCACCCACAGGCCGCCCCTTCTGTACCAGCATCAAGCTCCACCCCTCTCTACCCCAAGCCCCGCTCTCCTGGTACCGACATCTGGTTCCGCCCCCTCTCGCCCCACTCCCATAAGCTCCGCCCTCTGGCTATAACCGGAGCCGCCGCTCTTCCGAACCCCGCCCCCTCAGCCACCAAGTTCTGGCTCCACCCGCAGGTCCCAGTTTCTGGTTCCGTCTTCAACCCCGCCCCCTCTGGCAGCACGCGGGAGCCGCACTGCTTCTTGATTCAATTCCCGAGACGCGCGCTAGCGGATACCCAGCCCCATCCCGGTGTTGTGCGGCAGCGCCCCAGTACTCCACCGCAGGTCCGCGAGGCCCCGCCCTCCCCCAGGCCCCGCCCCGCCCCGCCCCGCCCCGCGTACTTTGGCAGCGGCCGGGATACATGACGCGCAGGTCCGGGTGGCCTCGGCAGCGCGCGGCGCGCAGCTCGCACTCGTCGCGGTAGGTGGCGCCGTCCGAGCCGCAAACTTGCAGGCGCTCCGGGAGACCAGCGCAGTCTGGTGCGCACTCGCAGCGCGGGCGGCCCCCCAGCATGCGGCACGCCTTGCCGGGGCCACACTCCACGCCGTCACAGGAATCTGCGGGAAAGGACACGAGCTCTTGGGTCTGGGCGCCGCCCGGAAGGGTCCTCAGGTCCCTCATCCACGCTGCTGAAGGATAGCGGCAGGGCCTAGGGCCGCGGCGTGTCCCGATCCTGGTCGGGAGCACCGGGACGCGCCCGCCCGGCGTGGAGTCTGCGCGTGGACCTACTGGGGGACAGGGTTTGTTCTGCGCCTGGGCGGAGACTTGGTGAGGAGCTTGGCTCCACGTGGGCGGGCGGGGGTCTCTGCCGAGACTCTGGGGTCCAGTGGCCGAGCTCACTTCCCTCCGCAGCGAGGCCGACGTCTGTTCCCCGCTTTCTGCCCGTTTCGGGGAAGGCCTGCCGGGCAGCTGCATCAGCCCTGGAAGGGCCTCCACCCGGGGCCTGGCACGGATCGGAGGGCACTCGCAGATCTGTTCCTTCTGTGGCCAGGACCTCTCCAGGAGGTGTCAGTGAGGGCAGGTGTGATCCCGCCCGAGCCCAAAGAGCATT